GGGCCAGACTGGTTGATGTCAGTTGCAGTTAATTCCAATCTCGTCCCATTTCTCTTCCTCAACCCCTTCACTGATGCCCCTCATCCTCTCTTGGATCCTGCTCCTTCACACTTCTCCTTCCTGCTTCTGCCTACTGCTTCTACTTCATGCTTCTTCTGGATCTCCCCTTAAATCTCCTTTTGACTCCCTCAGCCCACTCTTACAGTCTTAGTTAAATCTCAGAGCATGAGGGGTCGGGGTAATAATTACACATAAATGTGGTCATAAATCCACAGAGCTAAAGTTCTTCCCTCAGGGGAAGCTTCTTCTAAGACAAATTCTTATCCAGCAAGACAACTTCCCAAGACTGAAATTCCAATTATGGGTGTGGTTCTCCTTTCCTTAGTCCAACAAACATACATTCATAATATTAGTCATTTTGTATGGATACAGATACATTAAGCTTATAGAATTGCTCTCCTCAGGCCATCTCCCTGTAGATCTCGGACTACAGTGCTCAGACCAGATTAGTCTTTCCTAACCCTAGCAGGGTCCTAATCTCTTTGTTACCTTTTGGATCATAACAGTATTTGTCCATGACCATGCTCTTAACTTACAGTTGAGTACTGTGACACTTTCTCCTGGCACATTTTGGTGCCAGGGTAGTTCACAGCTTGCCCTGGGGGATCCATTCAGTCCTTCGTTGGGATCCTGCTTTTAGGAAGTAAGGGCAACTGAGGCTTAAGTCAAGAAAGGAGATGTCCCGGAGTGAATATTATTCGGAGTCAATTAACTCCCAAGTTACAAAAGCATCATATTAATTGTCTTCCTCTGTCTATACAAAAAGGACATTGCTTTAAAGTAAACTATGCAAAAGACGTAAGGAAAGGAGAGAGGCAATATTTCATTCATAAATATAAAATTGGAGCAATAGCACAGCGGGTAGGGCGTTCGCCTTACACGCGGCCAACATAACATGGCTGACCCGAGTTCGATTCCTCCGCCCCTCTCGGAGAGCCCGGCAAGCTACCGAGAGTATTCGATATGCCAAACACAGTAACAACAAAGTCTCCAATGGAGACATTACTGGGCCCGCTCGAGCTCGAGCAAATATAAAATTATAGATTTCTGAGAAATCTGACCTTACAGGTTAACAGAGTCTGATTAGGCGGAAAAGGTGATAGACCTGTTTGGGAAGAGAGCATAGAGAATAGTTTACAGCTAAACATGATGTAATGGAAGTGCCTCAGGAGCAATGTGATAAACCTAAGCTCCTGTGGCAAGGGAATCAGGACATACCAATGTTATCCTGAAATGTTTAGGGCTATATTCCAATAAACACAGAGGAATAGATGTGCTTCAGGAGAACTGTGATGGATATCACCTGAAAAACCTAAACTCTGTGGCAGAGGAGAAAGCACAAACCGTTGTTATCCTACACATACTGTTTATCATGGAGTTTGTAGTGGATGTCGTTCCTACTAACTCTGAGAGTTCCCTTTTCACTGGAATTCCTGCTAACATTGGTTGTTTCTGGTCTTTGTGATATGCACCATTTTAACTGGTGTGAGATAACAACATTGTCATTTTGTTAAGCATTTTTCTCATAATAAGTTATGATGCACTTTTTCTTGTGTCTGATGGCCATCCATATTCTTTGAGGAAATTTTTTTGTTCTTGTTGATGAGCTTTATACATACATATTCAAGATACATATGGATATATATTCAAGATATATATATGTATTGAATATTCGACTTCTCACATTGATGATATGCAAATATTTTCTTCCATTCTGTAGAGTCTTTATTACTTTAGATGTAGTTTTTCAGTGCAAAAACCTTTTTTGTTTGTTGTCATCCCATTTATTTGTTTCAGTTTCTTTCAATCAAAACTTCATTGAGGTTTCATGATTTATGATAGTATTTTTTTTTTTATCGAGTCACTGTGAGATACAGTTGCAAGCTTTCATGTTTGAGTTACAGTCATACAATGATCAAACACCCATCCGTCCACCAGTGCATATTCCCTACCACCAATCTCCCCAGTATAGCCCTCCTTCCCCACCCTCCCCATGCCTCCATGACAGACAGTTTCCCCCCATACTCTTTCTCTACTTTTGGGCATTATGGTTTGCAATACAGATGCTGAGAGGTTATCCTTCTGAATGTGGTCGCATGTGCTCTTCAGCTCTGGGAATGTTGTAGCAATGATGTCTTTGACAGTTTCTTCTTCCTCAGGGGTTTCTTCCTGTCCCTCTGGGACTCCAATAATTCTTATGTTATTCCTCTTGGCTTCATCCCAGTCTTCTCTTGGCATCTATTCGTGGACTGAGTCTATTTTCCATTTTCTGCTCTTTTCTGGAGAGTCTCTGCACTTCATCTTCGAGCTCACAGATTCTGTTCTCAGCAGCTGTTACTCTGAGTTTTTCAATTCACCTACCAGGTTTTTTGGATCTGTCATTTCATCTGTAACCTTGTTTGCATTTTCCACATTTCTACTTTCAAATCCTTTCGTATTTTTTTGGCGGTGCATTCCATTGCTTCTTTTAGCTCCCTATGCATCCTCAGTGGCTCCCTTCTAAATTCCTTGACAGAGAGGTTGTCTAGCGCTTCATTACTGGTTGGGTCTTCTGGGCTAGTCTCTTCACTAAGCTTGGTGGGCTTCTGTGTTGCTTTACCATTGTGACCTGTGCAATTTAGACCTTCACACCCACTGTTACTATTGTGTTTTTGCTGTAATATTGATTGAGGTGGGGCTAATGACTTATTGGCCTAACGTGTTTCTGGTGAGCAAGCTGCCCTGGTGAAAGTTCCATGTAAGAGGATAACTTATGGTTCTTATGGGATATGGAGAGGGAGAATAAATCGCAGCTGCATTAGTGGCCAGGACTCTGGGAAGGACCCCTGGATACCAAGCGGATACCTGGATGGGAGGAGGAATGTCTCCTGGAACATTACTGCTGTTGTTGTGGTCTGTCTGAGATCCCCTCCCCCACAGTTCTAGGATAAAAACCGGCTGTGCATGGGTCTGCCCAGCCCTGTGGCTCCGGGAAGGACCCCTGGATAGATTTATGATCGTATTAACACTTACTTCCAGGGCTTACATTGCCGTAGTGCCAAATACGCCACCAGGATGTCAGTATTCTTCCACTACTTTCCCCAGGTTTCTTTTTTGGCCCTTCCCTGTTGGCTTTTTCAGCAATTTTGGCAGCACCTGAAGATTGTTTTCTTTAAACACTATTTCCCATCTTTGTTTCTTTTTATTCCTCATATGAGTGAGAATATGTCGTATTTATTTTTTCCTCTTGACCCATTTTACTTAGCTTGTTGCCTTCCAGTTTCATTCAAGTTGCAGAAAACTGAAAGATTTTGTTTTTTCTTACAGCTGAGTTCTACTCTATCATATACATATACCATAATTTCTTTATCCATTCATCTGTTATTGGGCACTTGGATTATTTCCAGATCTTGACTACAAAAAAACATAGTTGTGCATCTTTAATCATTTTTGTTTACAGGGGCTGGAGCGATAGCACAATGGGTAGGGCATTTGCCTTACACGTAGCCGGTCTGGCCGACCCAGGTTCGATTCCTCTGCCCCTCTCGGAGAGCCCGGCAAGCTACCGAGATTATCTCACTTGCACGGCAAAGCCTGGAATGCTACCCATGACGTATTCGATATGCCAAACACAGTAACAACAAGTCTCATGATAGAGATGTTACTGGGCCCGCTCTAGCAAATCAGTGAACAATGGGAGGACAGTGCTACAGTGCTATACTACAGAGAAGCAAAGAAAATGAGGGAGAGAATAAGAAGAGATGGATGGGGGGTAATGGGAAGTGTCAGGGGCCTTGAGCACATTGGTGTAGAGGTATAGTATATGGATGTATCTAAACCGCAGAGCCAGTAACACTGTAAGGATGAGATCCAAACATTAAGAACCAAACTTTCAATTCTCTTCTGTCATTTTAATTGAGCTATTGGAATTTGCTATGTGGTAAATTATACTTTTTATTGTATGTCATTTTAATGACACACCCTGTGCATTAACAGTGCCTGCTTTCCTCCACCAGTGTCCCAAGGCCCCTCTTAGCTACCCCTGCACCCTCTCCCCACAATTTCTGACTCAGTTCTATAGGCAAAATATCCATTTCTCATGATTTGGCCTATTGTTGTTCCCTTACTCTTTCCTTATATCTCACACATAGAGATATTAAAAATGTATAGACCTTAAAAACAGTTTATTGTGGAGGTAATGGTACCTACACATATAGATGAATAAAGCTAAACTGAAATTTCACAAAAATTATAAACCAATGATAATATTTTTTTAAATTGTAGGTTTATGTACATATAAATTTAAAAAATAGTGTGAATAATTCTATGCTAATACATTAAAATTACATGAAATAGGTAAATCCCAGGAATATACAATATACAGAGTGAGAAGAGAATTAAGAAAGTGTTATGGGAAGCCTATAAAAATATAATGTGTATTATCCTTAAATGGGAATGTTGGCTTTTTGTCAGAAAATACTATATATTTTGTATATTATATATATGATATATACTACAGATAATGCTTAAGTATTTGCATTAATAAGTTAAAAATGGGCCCCCCATGATCAGCTCTCCGGCACAGTCATGGCTCCAGAGGCAAGAGGACTTAATCCAGAGCCCAGCATCTTGCAGCAGAAAAGTGAATGGACTATACATTAAACTACGGTGCCATTCCTCCCCGGGAGGGAAAGGGTATCTCTCCCTTCTGCCTCCCCTCCGCCCCCCCACCCCCCGGCAGCATGGTGACTGCCGCCTCAGAGCTTATCAGCATAGCCATGGCAGAGGCACAAAAATCAGTCTCTTAATTATCTGGCTCTTGGCAGAAATCCTTCCAGACTTAATTAGTAAAATATCAGAAATCCAAAATCGCGTGGCCGCTATTGTGGCCGAGCAACATCATTTGATTGGAGTTCTCTTTTATTTACAAAATATATTGAAATGAATTTTTCTTCTTTCAGATATTCTTGATAGTTGCTCCCCTTTCAGTCCTTTACAATTGGAGAGATGAATTGGACACCTGGGGATATTTCAGAGTTGTTCTTTTACATGGTAACAAAAAAGACCATGAGTTGATTCGAATAAAGCAGAGGAAATGTGAAATTGCTCTAACAACTTATGAAACACTGCGGTTGTGTCTGGATGAACTGAACAGGTAACAATTTTTTGTATCAGTTACATACATGAACGCTTATATATTAATTATAAAATCTCTTAACTGTTTATTAGCATTATTTACTTAGTTCGGAATTATTAAACTAGTTGATTATGATTAACTTCATGTTGTTGCTTTTGTTTGTTTACTGGGGGCCACAGCCTGCAGTGCTCAGGAATTATTGCTGGTTCTTTGTGCAGGGATCATTCTTGATGGGACGTGGGGGACCATATGAGATGCGGGGGACCTAACCTGGGTAGGCCACATGGAAAGCAAGCATCCTTCCCACTATGCTATCACTCTCATCCCCTTAACTTCTGTGTAATCACCAAGTGAGTAGGAACCCCGAAGCTCTCTCTCACCACCTGTGTTCTGTGGTCTCATGCCATTCCCCACCCATGACAGCCAATGCCGTTGGTGAATGAAGGAGGAAACAAGGACCAGGCTGGTTGGTGATCAATTGCCTGCTTCAGTCTCCCTAAGCTGCTCATTGGAGTTTCCTGTGTCCCTTGCTCATCTCTCCACACTCTGACTTGCCGCCTTGGACTCTTTCTAGTCTCTCTCCAACTCCCAGCATTGGGGATAGCAACCAGACCCAGGTCAGATAGTAAAATCAGCATACGGAAGCCCTCCACTCAAGGGCAAAATACCACCTACGGTGTGCTTCTCCTTTCCTTAGTCCAACAGTCATTTAATTGACATCTTAATTAACATCTTAATTCTACTTCTTAATATTAGTTATTTTGTATGGACACAGTAAGAGCTACATTAAGCTTATAGGATGGCTCTCCTGGGGGCATCTCGCTATAGGTCTCAGACTATAATGCTCAGGCCAGATTAATCTTTCCTAACCCTACCAGGGTCCTAATCTAGTTGTTACTTTTTGGATCATGATAGCATTTGTCCATGACCATGCTCTTATAGTTAATTATTATGGGACTTTGGCCAGGCCCATTTTGATGCCAGGGTAGCTCACATCTTACTCTGGGTCTATCCAGTTCCTCATTGGGACCCTGCCTTTAGAGTGCTAGGAAGTAAGGGCAACTGACGCTTAATTTGAGAGAACAGATGCCCAGGACTGTTTTTGTTTTGTTTTGTTTTGTTTTTGTTTTGGAGTCAGTTAACTCTTAAGTTGCAAAAGCATATCATTAACTGTCTTCCTGTGTCTATACAAAAAGGACATTGCTCTGAATTAACTATGCAAAGGACATTGGGAGAAGAGAAAAGCAATATTTACAAGTTAACAGAGTCTGATTAGGAGAAAAAGGTGATTGACTGGTTGGGGAAGCAGAGCACAAAGAAAGAGGTTACAAATAAACACCGAGGAATGGGAACACTGTGATGGGAGTAGCCCAGTAAGCCTAAGCTCCCTGTGGCAAAGCAGAAAAGGACAAACCAATGTTATTCTAAAAATTTCCTTTAATAAAAAAAAAGACCTGTGTCAGGTTTTTCATTTTCTTACTCTATTTCTTCTGTACTACTCTCTCTATAAAGTTCTTTATAAGGAATAATATGACTCATTTTAATCTCATGTAAAATCTGTTTTTCAGACTTGAGTATAAATTTCATGAATGATTTTAGTTATGGAGTTTGTTGTAAATGTATTTATTTATTTTGTTTTGGGGGCCATACCTGGCAGTGCTCAGGGTTTTCTCCTGGTTCTGCATTCAGGAATCATTCTTGGTAGTGATCTGGGGAACTTCTATATTAGAAGTTCTGAAAGATTCTTTGAGAATTTTGCCTTTATCAGGGCTACTGGAGTGCCCCTAGGTGTTTTCTATAGGTTTCTAATGTAATCCCAAAAATGATCAGATGGGTATTTTGTAAAGTATATACTGTATTTATAGACTGATGACTACCAGATTGAATATAGTTATACTAATTAGGGTATATTTCATTAAGACATACTTGAGTAAAAATGTGTTTGCTTCAAATTCCTAAGCTCATAAACCTAAGTATACACCTCGAACTTCAACTTCTAGCTTCTAAAGCTGTATATGTTTTTCATCTTTCACTCATCATATTTTTTAACCACTCCTTTGGTCCATTTGCAAAACTGGGATATTTTTTTAACAGATGTAAGAGTATTACAAAATCCTACATGGTAAAACTTCATTCTCAGGAAACTACTCCCACCCACCCACTCCTTCCTCTAGTTGCAAGCTGTAAGTCCTCAGGTCACATAGCTTAGTGACAGAGGTTCCTGGGAACTCCCTTTGGATTTGATCATTTGCTGGAACAGCTCTCAGGATTGAGTGAAATATGCTGACTAGCTTATTAGAGAATATGCTAAAAGTACAGAGAGCCTAATGATGAGGTGTTGCCCGGGTGGGTTGTAGCAGAATCTGTAATGTAGAACTTTTATTTCTGCTGTAGGGTTGGACAGGAGCACCCTTTTGGTATATGGATGTGTTCACACCATATTTTTTCAGATCCACAGGTAATTGACAAGAAAAGTCTATTCTACAGTTGTTAGGTGTACTTTTCTATAATTATCAGGAAAGTCATATTGTGATTTTTAAAGGAATGATTATTAACTGCGTTTCCAACCTGTCCTCTCTGGAGAATGGGAGTGCAGACAAAGTTAAATTTCAGTTAACTCATTGCTTAGACTTTCTGCTGCCCCCTTTTATCTTTGTATACATCTCTGGGCTTGAATTAATCTTCATTAATTTCCCTGACACATGTACTAAGATTACTCATTTCTTCATTGGCCTTTCATCTGGCCATGGGAATGCTTAAGTAACAATGGATTTTACTTTTATTTAGCAGACAGATGTATGATACATTTTTTAAAAGTTTATACTGATAGTTTTTTATTCTGATTTAACACTACAAGTTTTAATCTTATTTTGTATTTGTTTCCTTTTTTGTAAACTTTAAAGTTCCTTTATTGTCATTCTAGTAATATTTTGTGATGTTGTCTACTATCTTTAAACACCTTTAAGCAACCTCTGTATCCTTGTGTTTACATAAACTTTTATATGACAGATTAGTTTTTAATTCCATGGCATCATCAGTGTAAAGAGAAATAAAAGCTTGAAGATTTCAAAAGCAAAAATTACATAGACTAAGAAAGGGAGATTTTCTTCACTTTCTCTCATTTTTTTCCTTAATACGTAGTTTGAAATGGTCTGCTGTCATTGTGGATGAAGCTCACAGAATCAAAAATCCAAAGGCCAGGGTGACAGAAGTTATGAAAGCTTTAAAATGTAAAGTTCGTATTGGCCTTACTGGAACCATTCTTCAGAATAACATGAAGGAACTGTGGTGTGTGATGGACTGGTGAGTGAAAACTCTTTTGAAAAATTTTATAAAAATTTTATAGTAATGAAATATTATTCCTTATATTCAGTACATTCAATAATGTTATGTTATTTGCTAGTTATTAATTTCTCTCTTTTTCTCTGTCACATCTCTTTTTTTTTAAGACTTACAAACTTCCGTGCTTGTGTTTCAGTCACATCTTTTAAGTTTCAATGAACACTACCTTGCTTTACCAAAAACAAAACAAAAAATAAGATAAGGGGCCAGAGCAATATTACAGTGGGTAGGGTACTTGCCTTGCGACCAGATTTGATCCCTGGCACTATATAATGTCCTCCTAGCCTGCCAGGAGTGATTCCTGAGCTCAGAGCCAGGGGTAAGCCCTGAGCACTGCTGGGTACCTCCCCCACCCCAAAAGACAAGTACATGGAAGGAAGATAGCAAAGGTGGGCAGACACTGACTCTAGGCTACAGGCTTCCTGCATATTTCTCTCCTTCCCTGAACTCTGAAATGAACAGTTCGGGAAAGGGGAGAAATAGATGGTGAAAAGAAGGAGAAAGTGTTCTGAAGGTAAAATAGTGTCAAGGGCCCTGAACACAGTGGTGGTATGAGCGCAGGCTTATTTATACGTGTAAACCACAGAGCTTACGCTACTGTAAGCGAACTACAGTAGACTTTGAAACGTGCCAGTACAGGAGAGAAGCTGTGTGGCAGGAGGAGTTTGAGAAAGGATAACTGGAGCATTGGTGAAAGGAAGTTGTGGTGGTGGAATTGGTGTTAGCACAGTATATTCCCGGAACCCTGTTATTAACACCTTTGTGAATCACGGTACCTAAATTTTTAAAAATGTAGTTTTAAAAAAACAATTCAGTTTATTTATGGAAGCATCTGATCCCATACTATGTGGAGTAGAGAGTTTCATGAAAACCCATTTCTATATAATATTCCTGGTTCCAGAAGTGTATATCTTGGCTGAGTTACAAATCCCATGGTATAATTAAGTTTACTGAAATTGTAAGAAGGAACATTCTGTTTTCTTGGCTTTTGTTATTGTTGACATTAATAGGTATTATAGAAACAAAGAGAATTTAGTCTTATTTTTACATAATTTTATAGAGCCCTAACATTAGTTTTCTGCCTTTATAAAGGGCTGTGCCAGGACTTTTAGGCAGCAGAGTACATTTCAAGAAGCAGTTTTCTGATCCAGTAGAACATGGTCAGAGGCATACAGCAACAAAAAGAGAATTAGCTACTGGCCGGGAGGCCATGCAGAGGCTGGCGGAGAAGATGTCTGGGTGGTTTCTCAGGCGCACAAAAGCTCTCATCAAGGATCAGTTACCTAAGAAGGAAGACCGGGTGAGACCTGCTTTGGGGTGTTGTTGATTTCTTGTTATTTTATAACCCTAAAAATTTTCTTCTGTAGTATATAATTTCTATGGTATTCTATAAATGTTGTGTTTTGTCTTGTAGTTGGTGTGGGAAAAATGTACATGAAAAGTTTAAAAAACATTAAATTGAGCTCAGTAATTCCCTTATTAACTTTGTTGACATGTTAACTAACAAGTTTGTTGTTCATTTACTTTTACACTTTTAGAGGATTTTTTTTGCTGTATTTCTTTCTCAATGAAGTATGGTCTCACTTATATGTGGAATCTTTAAAAAGATATTAGAAACAAGTAGTAGCAGGGTGGTTGCCAGAGACCTGGGTTAAGGGAGGTGTAGAGATGTTGGCTAAAAATTACAGACTTACACAGAACTTCCAGTGGGTTCATAGACGCCACAGGCAAGTGTCAAATCTATTTTTTTGTATACTTGAAAGCTCATATGAAAGTAGATCTTAATTGTTCTCATCACAAAACAACTGATCAAGTGAGGTGATGATGTGTTGACCATTTTACATGTTGTGTTAATTATTTCATCATTTCATAGGTGTCAATATCAGTTTAAGTACCATAAACTTACATAATTTCGTGAATTATGTATCAGTAAATATGCAGGAAAAAATTCAAAATTTCTTCATACTTCATTGACCATCATCTTCAATATTCTCTCTTGTTTTCTTGATGAGTCGAGTGCTGCCCCCAAGCAGTTTTGTTTGGGTTCCCTTGGGCCACTCTCAGCAGTGCTTCAGCCAGCGAGGCCACAGGTTCACACTGCAGGGAAGCGGTGCTGCTCTCCCTCAGACTGCTGAGTGGACGGGTTTCCCCCTGATGCTGTTTGTGGAGTGGAGGGAATGGTGGCGTGCCGTGCCAGAGATTGAAACTGGGGTCTCTGTGCATGCAAGACTTTATGCTCCTGACCTCTGAACTGTCGTCCTCACCCCTTTTATTCTTAGATACATGAATTAGCATCAAGGTGTAGATAGTAGCCTATGTGTACCAGTACTGCTTTATATAGACATCCCTTTATTTGCTTGGATGTGCATATTTCTCATTTTTAGTACCATGTACACATACTTATTTTGCCTTTTTTTTCTCCAAGTAAGAGTCATTTGTAAAAGCCCTATCATAGTTATATTTAGTTTTCTGACCCTAATTATATATCTAGGAGAAATTTACCAGTTTCCAGAGCAGAAATATGTTCCGGAAATTAAAAGTTAAAGTGTGGATTCAATCAGCCTAATCAGTGGCTGAATAAATAGCAGTACTCCTACATAAAAATAAAAATTAAAAAAATAGGGTTAAAATGTGTTCCCTGTAACTTATTGACCATTGTTCTATGTATCTTTTTCTTTTTTTTTTTTTGCAGTTGGAGACAAAATAACAATTTATTGCTTTTGATCATTTGACTTCCCATTAATCATCGATTTGCTCGAGCGGGCACCAGTAACGTCTCCATTTGTCCCCGTCATGTGCTAGTGTAGTGTATTGCTTTTGTTTAATCAATATTTAATAACGTTAGAGATTTATAGCAAGATATTAAATAAAAATACTTCATTTTCAGCAACATTGAATTTTTAGAAATTCCCAGTCTCCCAAGTATTAGTATTATTTTTTAAGAATAAAGTTTTCCAGTGACTTTTTTCTATTAAAATCAAAAATAATTTTTAAATAAAATGCATTTTCTTAGTGGTATTATTCAAGGGAAAATTATCTTCTTGTCCTTACCTAATCTTTTTATTAAGCTAGACATTAATCATTTGCAATCATTTTTTTGTATGATGGTCAATACAAAGCCCTGAGAAGATTCACAATATATTGAGAAATACATATGGAAATGACAATTGTTTTTCTTACACTTTGCACTTTTGCCAATGAGAAACGATTTATTTGAAAATGAAGTTATTATTTGTGTAGTTTAGGAGAGGGTAGTGACAAGGAACATAGGAGAACTGGCAGTGATGCTGTGCCTAGAAGACATGTCAGTGAGAGTGAGTTTTCACTTGTTGGATCTGTGAAGTCTAATGTGCATTGTGGTGACTGTTGCTCCTTTGGCAGATGGTGTACTGTTCTCTGACAGAGTTTCAGAAAGCTGTCTATCAGGCAGTGTTAGACACCGAAGATGTAATTTTGATACTAAAGTCCTCTGAGCCTTGTCCTTGCAGCAGTGGCCGAAAAAGGCGAAATTGTTGTTATAAGGCAAGTATGGCACTAGTACATCTTGACTTTTTTGCTTTTGATAATGTGGTTCTTAATTTTAGTACCAGAGCAAGTTATTAGGCAAAATGGCTTTTCCTTAGACAAATTTTAATTTCTAAATCCTTGACTTAAGAAGCCCTAAATTAATAAGGAATCATCTTCAAAAATATTATTATAATAGCAAATGGTAATCAGCAGAATACAGTTTACAAATATCTTTTTTTAAAAAAAAAAAACAGTTTTTGAATGTAGTTTCTATCTTCTATCCTCAACATTTACAGAGACATTTACTGCTATCAGCTTGAAGTTTTATTTCATTTTCAGGGAGTTTCTCATTATTCCCTAACACTAAAATTACTTTCTCTTTGATAGCATACTTAAAATAATTATTCTAATATGAGATATAGTGTTTATTAGTAGAAACTGTCTTAGCACAGTAAAATAACTTAGAAACAAGTAATTGTAGTTCTAAAAACCTATTTTAAATCTTTTAAATTTAATTTAATTTTAGTTTTACCTTTTTTTTTACTTCTTTATTCATGTAATTATCAAGTCATGCAGACATAAAAAGAGGGGGTGTAAATAAATATTTATCCAGATAGTATTTATGCTGTTTATTTTGTTGGTTCTTACCACTTTATTCCTTTGTAATAGTGTTGGTTTCCTAGGAAACCTTGGAGTGTAAATGAAATGACAGAGTGAAGAAGTCTGTATAACCTAGTGATTGTTGCCTTAGTATTTTACCAGACACGTCTTTAAAAAACAGTGTATCTGTCTCTGTATCAAGAAGATAAATACTTTCTAAAGGACTTTCTCCCCATTTCATTAAAATATCACTAAATTATGATTCAACAAAAGCATGATTCCATGGTCATGATTCACACATATTTTATAAACAGATTTTTGCAGAATTTATTATGCCTATTGTAGCCCCAAAATGAATATTGTTGATATTACATAGCCATGTTAGACTTGTACTTGTTTTTATGTTCTGTATTTTTTTTTCTGATTGCAGACCAATTCAGATGGCGAAGCAATAAAAACCTTGTACTTCAGTTATCTTGCAGTCCTTCAAAAGGTGGCAAACCACGTCTCTTTGCTGCAGGCTGCTGGTGCTTCCAGACAGCAGGTTTGGATTGGATTTGTTGACTCTTTGTGTCTTTGGTACAGATACTTCGTAGCTGCTGTGCAGTGCTATTTTTGCATGAAATTTCAGAGAACACTGACTTGCTTGATGTTTTTTCAAAGAAATATATGAACTTAAGTTTTTAATCTAACAGAAATGTTAAGGTTAAATGAAAATATTAGCTCTGTATGTTTTTGCTGATGCTCATATTTTATTTAACCCCCCCGTGACAGACTTGCTTGGCTAGATAATGGACGAGGCTTTTTAAAGTCTTATTTCAGAACACATCATAAAAGGACCTTTTGATGAGCTTTTTAAGGAATTTACATTTTCCTTTTGTTTTATTATCTTAATGCTGTTTAAAAGTTAATTCTAACATTTGAATTCTTGTTACTGTTCTTTTATGCTGCTGTTTTTACTAGGGAGTGTTATATTTTTGTTTTAGAAAAAAAAATTTTTTGAGAGGTTTACTTAGTTCTCATTTAATCAATTTTCACCTGGACCCATTATTTACAACTTAACATAGACGTCAAGTCCAAATGCTGGGACGCTGGCATAGGTAATGGTAATCATTACATGCCAAGACATGTATAATTATCAGCAATTATCTTTCCCTTATAGTACTGAAGTCACTGGAAATTTGTCACATGCTATCAGGGTTATTTCTTTCTCGACTGCACTTTTGGAATCCCACTTTTGCAACCCCAAATCAACCTTGTCCAAGCAAAACTTTATTGTTTGAAGGGAGTTTGTTCTGAATTTGGGAATTATTATTAGGGGATGGAGTCATCCAGTATGAATTTTACTATGATTCCTAAAGCTTGAGGGGAATATTGTAGGCCTCCCCAAATTCCTTACATACATAAGGCTTCTCTCCAGTATGAGTATTCATATGCTTATTAAAGACTGAATCTTGAGTGAAGGCCTTTCCACATACCTCACATTTATAAGGTTTCTCTCTAGTGTGAATTCTACTATGTACAGTAAGATATGAGGATGTGCTAAAGGTCTTCCCACACTCCTGACATACAAAGGGCTTCTCTCCCGAATGAGTTCTCCTATGTACAGTGAGTGCTGAGGAGGAGCTAAAGGCCTTCTCACGCTCCTGACACACATAAGGCTTCTCTCCAGTATGAGTTCTCAAATGCTCAGTAAGGACTGATTGGTGAGTGAAAGCCTTTCCACAAACTTTATACTTATTAGGTTTCTCTCCAATGTGAATTCTCCTATGTACAGTAAGTTGTGAGGATGTGCAAAAGGCCTTCCCACATTCCTGACATACATGAGGCTTCTCTCCAGTATGAGTATTCATATGTTTCTTAAGGCCTATCAATTGAGTGAAGGACTGTCCACATACCTTACATTTATAAGATTTCTCTTCAGTGTGAATTCTCCTATGTATAGTAAGAATAGAGGATCTGCTAAAGGTCTTGCCACACTCCTGACATAAAAAAGGCTTCTCTCTTGTGGGCTCTCATATGTACAGTGAACACTGAGGATTTGTGAAAGGCCTTCCCACACTCCTGACACACATAAGGTTTCTCTCTGTTATGACTTCTCATATACTCTTAAGGGCTGACTGTTGAGTGAAGGCCTTTCCACAAACCTTACATTTATGAGGTTTCTCTCCAGTGTGAATTCTATGTACAGTAAGATGGGAAGATCTGCTAAAGACCTTCCCACACTCCTGACGGACACAAGCCTTCCATCCATGATGAATTTTCATGGCATCCGAAATGTTTGAGGGATAGTCAAAGGCCTTCCCACATTCCTTAAAGATACAGTGTTTCTCTCCAGTGTGATTTCTCTTCGGCCTAGAAAGGCTTGAACAGTGAGAGAAAACCTTCCCACAGTCCTGACATGAATACGCTTTCTCACCAGAATGAGTTCCTGTGACAAGAAAGATTTGAGTAGCAAGTGAAGGCCTTCCCACAGTCCTGAGAAGAACAAGTTTTTGTTCCCATACGAATTTCCCTGTGGACATTTAAGTTGTGAGGACAGAATAAAGGCCTGTCCACATTGCTAACACATGAAGTGTTTCTGCAGTAGGAACAGAACAGTATGAACTATGTATATTATACATTTTGAGTGGGAAGTGAAGCCTTAGAGTCCATACACATAATTTTTCTCTCCAGTTTGGATCTTTGGTCTGTCACACTGGGATGATGCCTGACTCAAAGTGTGTCCTGGATTCTGACAATCCTGGGGACTCTGACCACTGTGTGTCTCTAAGGGGATGTCAAAGTGCATAGAACTCAGAAAGGCTCACCCACATTCCTTACTCATGGGCAGGTCCAATCCCTGGTGTCTATCCTGGTGGGACTGTCAGCATGAGAGATACTCCCTATAAACAGTGTGCTCCTCTCCTACAGTCCAGGGGCTGCCCTCTTGTTCGTGTGTGTTTGGGGGGGGGGGGGATTGTGTCCAAAAGCTGAGGACAGCAGACTGAAAGAAGCTTATCCTAGGGGAGGGCTTCTTCAGAGTAAGGTCGCTGTCTTTATTCTGATCACCCTCAGAAGACATCCCACCTGTCTGGGCATCCCCCTGGGGCTGAGGGTACAATGGCTCACTCGAAACTTTATCACAGTGTGCAGGATCAGAGACATTCCACCCGGGGTGGCTCTTCCCAACCTACTCATATCTGGTGACCCAATTCCCAAATCAAATCGCTGCAGTGAAAACCCCTGAAGCTGCTATTTAACTTACGCACACACACCTCTCCTCCCTGAGCTCAGGGCTCCTTGTTCCAGCCAGGAGATCACTGCAGGTTTCAACCCAGAAACCCCGATGGCCCACAGGTCCTGGTAGGTCTCGAGCATTACGCCTCTGTAGAGTTTCTCTGAGTGACATGCAGGCACGTCAACTCCTCTGGGGAGAAGCTAATGGCTACATTGGCGAAGGTAATTGCATCCTGGGGACAGTGTGTCAGATGGTGCATTACCATTGTCTGCAGCTTCTATAATTCCCAAGGATTAGCAGGAGGCTCCCTGGAAACACCAGAACAGAAGGGGGAACCTCTGGTCTCCTTACACTCCAACAAGAGCAGCTGACAGGAGATTCCCTTGTTTTAGAAATTTTTAAAAAAGTAATTGTCTCACTGTTCATCAGAGCTGTCATTGCATGAGTAATATTAAGGTTTTCTAAATTATAAATATGACTTTAAAAAGGGAATGTTTTCAAAGTAATGTATTTCCTCTAAGTGGACTTTTTCATAAGAAATTTCAAAGCATATAGAGGTTTAAATGCGTTAAGTAAAAGTCTCTTTTCTTCTAATTGTTCCCCTTAAGGAAACACTTATCAAAAGGATCTGTGACCAGGTGTTTTCTAGATTCCCAGATTTTATGCAGAAAAGCAAAGATGCAGCCTTTGAAACACTTTCTGACCCAAAATACAGTGGAAAAATGAAGGTAAGTTCTCTTAAGTAATATGCACACAGGATGTCATAAAAACTGTATTCTAATGGGGAGTGGTGAGAGAGTGCAGCTGTATATGGTGTATGTATCAAAAAGCCTAAAAATTTTAAACATTGGAGGGGATCTGATGAAAAAGAAACCCTCAATCACTGCAGGTGGGAATGTCACCTGACCAAGCCTCTCCGGAAAACAATATGGATATTTCTCAGAAAAGTAAGACTGTAACTGTCATTTGACCCATCTATCATCTAGGTATCTGTTCCTAAAACACAAAAGCATTAAGTTGAAGAGATTACGCATACCTATAATGCAACTCCTAGTACAATGTGGAAGCAAACCAAATGCCCAACACCTGGTGGATAGATAGAAACCTCTGAACACATATACACAGTGGAATGTTCTGTGCAGCCCCTAGGACAGAAAGCCATGCCACTCACAACAAGTGGGAATTGGAGGGTCTCATGCTGAGAAACGTAACCCAGAGGCAGAGGAACAAATGGAGAATGTCATCTTTGGTATATAGAATATCAGTAGATAATAAACCTCCACTGCTAAGACAGACCTGAGAGTGCCAGATTTGGGGTGAGAGAGAAGGGCAAGGGTAGGTGACGTGAAGCAAGGCGGCAGCATAGGTGAGGGTGTCAAGCACATGGTGGTGTTGAGGGAGTTTTGTACTAAACATTTTGTACCAAAACCATAAAGTTCAGTTAACAAATAATAGGAGGGATGGGAGAGAAGGAATGTTCAAGCGAAGGTGACAAAGGGTGACACTCATAGGCATTTTGGTGGTAGGTGTGTGCAATAACTTCGTATATCAATTTAAAAACTTTTTACACTATTGCAACCTATGACCTATAGGTATTAATATAATTATATATTAATATAATAGGTATTAATATAATACCTGTAGCACCGTAGCACTGTCCTCCCATTGTTCATCGATTTGCTCGAGCAGGCACCAGTAATGTCTTCATTGTGATTTTGGCATATCGAATACATCACAAGGAGCTTGCTAGGCTCTGCCGTGCGGGCAGGATATTCTCGGTAGCTTGCTGGGCTCTCCAAGAGGGATGGAGGAATCAAACCTGGGTCGGCTGTGTGCAAAGCAATTGCCCTACCCACTGTGCTATTGCTCCAGCCCTATTTAGCACTGTAGCACTGTCCTCCCGTTGCTCATCGATTTGCTTGAGCAGGCACCGTTAACATGTCCATTGTGAGACTTGTTACTATTTTTGGCATATCGAATACATCATGGGGAGCTTGTCAGGCTCTGCTGTGTGTCTCAAAATCTAGAGCTTTGCTTACCTAGGGATACTCTTGGTAGTTTGCCGGGCTTGAGGTAGAGGAATTGAACCTGGGTCGACCACGTGCAAGGCAAACGCCCTATCCACTGTGCTATTGCTCCAGCCCTATTTAAATATATTTAAATTATATTTAAATTTAATTATATTTAAATAATATAATATAAATAAAAAAATTAAAACCAGTCCACACTTAACAGAGATCATATATATTTGTATATTAGCAATATTAGCATCTGCTGGGGCTGGAGCCATAGCACAGCGGTAGGGCGTTTGCCTTGCACGCAGCCAACATGGCTGACCCGAGTTCAATTCCTCTGCCCCTCTCGGAGAGCCCAGCAAGCTACCGAGAGTATCTCGCCCGCACAGCAGAGCCTGGCAAGCTCCCTGTGACGTATTCGATATGCCAGACACAGTAACAACAAAGTCTCCAATGGAGACGTTACTGGGCCCACTCGAGCAAATCGATGATCAACAGGAGGACCTTTACTTTTTTACTTTAGCATCTGCTGTGTGAAATCAAAATCTAGAGCTTTGCCTACCTAAAAAAGTTCGTTTACTGCATTTCTTCATGACTTTGTTTTAATTTTCCCTTGAGGGGCTGTAACTTCCAGTAAATACCTTCCTATGTTTTTCTTGAATAGTATATTTTCATTATTCAAATATATTCAGTATTTTCGTTCAATAACAATTGTTTGTAAAGTTTTTCTTTATACTCACTAACAGTTTAGGAAATAATCTTATACCTAAATACAGAGTTTTGTTTCTTTGTACAGATTCAGTAAAACTGGTGTCTGTCCATTTTAAGTCATGTATTCTTTTTTAACATTTATTTGTGTTTTTCTGGTGTCATGATACATTTATTTTATCATCTTAAATTTTCTTTCTTATTTTTCCTTTTTTCTGGGGAAGACTACCAAGCCACTGTCTGAGGAGATGGGGGAGGGAGTAGAAGGAAAGAGGAATCTTGCCGTTGCTGAAATCCTGACCAGGATCATATTCATTTTTGTAGATCTGAGTGAATGAGTTGAGGAAAGCTAGATCCAGGTCTTTCAAGTTACAAACGCCTCCAAAATTGGTTCCTTTATTTTGGAATGTCAAGAGGTAGACTGTCTCTTTCTTTGGGAGACAAGTGACTGATAAAACATAGGTCTTAGTTGTAAAGGTTCTCACCTATATTGATTGCACTATCATTTGAAGTTTTGTTAGTAATCCTAGTTTTAATATTGTTTTTCTTGTTATTCATATGTCTTTTTCAAAAGATACATGTGAAGATCTTAAATCAAAAAAGGAATCACATTTTTTTATTGTAAGATACTCGACCACCCAAACTTACATTAGGCACAATACCATTCCATCAAAATGAATTACTTTGCAGTATATCCTTGACTTTTAATCGTTAATATTTTTAAAAACAAAAAAAGGGGGAAAAGATAAATTAGAGAAAATATTTGTAAAATCAATAGAAGATTTGTATCTTAAAAAGAACCCTTAAAATTCAACAATAAGAAAATAATCCAGGGCCAGAGCAATAGCACAGGGAGTAGGGTGTGTGTCTTGCACAGGCCACCGAGGTTCAATCACTGGCATCCCATATGGTCCCCAGATCGCCACCGTGATTAATTCCTGATCTCAGAGCCAAGAGTAACCCCTGAATACCATTGGATGTGGCTCAAAAACAAAAAACAAACAAAAAAAGTAATCCACTTTCAAATGAGCCAAAGACAGACAGATGCCTTACCAAATAAGCTATTTAAATTGCCAGATAAACATTTAAAAAGTTGCTCAGCCTCTTGTCATTAAGGAAATGAAAATTTAGCTAATGAAATATGGCTCCATGTTAATTAGAATGACCGAACCCGAAGCTTTGACAGTATCAAATGCTAGTGAAGAGGTAGACCAGTAGGTACAGTCTTTCATTGTTGGTGGCAGTGAAAAATAGAACAGCCATTTTGGAAGAGTTGCAGTTTGTCACAAACCTAAATGTACTATTACCATCTTCTCCAGCCATCACATCCTTGGTATTTATCCAAATGAATTAAACTTTATGTCATTATAATGATTATCCAAACTTGGGAGCAACTAAAATGTCCTTCCAGAGTTTACTCTGGTATATCCAGATGATGTCAGTGGATCCCACGGGTGGCTCATATGAAGTGGGGAGGAGGAAGTGTCGGTCACTTTCTCACTTTCTTCCTGCCACCCGGGACCCAGGCTTACTGGGTTCTTGTCTCACCTCACAGAAAGGAATTTCAGGAGCAGACAAGCAGTGAAGTTACAGTTTTTATTTGGAGGTTTTGAAGGGAAGGAGGAAGAGAAAGTTGGATAGAGTGGAGAGGAACGTGCCCAACAGAGAGCCTGGTCTTCTCCAAGGGTGGAGAGAGCCTCTACACACATTCCAGCATTAGACATGAAAGTACACATCTCAAGGCAGGGAGATGCGGGCAACACATGTACTCAGGCACCACATGTGCCTGGCCTCATGGGCACAAGTAGCACATGGGCTCCGGCAGCATATGTGCCCTTCCTTTGTTCAAGGTGGCTTTTATAGAGTATCTCTATGGGATGTCTTGTTCTGGAGTTTTCTTTGGGCTGAATCACTAAAGTTAATCAGAATAAGGAAGAGGTCTGAGGGTATTCGAGGAATTTCCTTCATGAGTAGGTGTCCAATCTCAGGGTATATTGCCGGTGAGGGTCTTATGGGCCTTAGTTCCTGTTTTCTGCAAGGTTGGCTTTCACAACTTCAGAGCTATTTCTTCCTAGGAAATCTACTGCCATCGCCTGGGGAGGGAGCCTCTCTATCTTCCCGTCTACCTCACAGACAGTAGAATATTACTTAACAGCATAAGGAAAATAGCTTTTAGACTATGAAAAGACAAGGGAGCAGATACTGTAAGTACATATACCAAGAAGCAAGTTTGATTCCAATTCTAAAAACATTTTAATTTTGTTGTTGTTTTGTTTTGATTTGGGGCAATGCCTGGCAGTGTTCCTGGCTTACTACCAGCTCTTACTGGCTCTGCTCAGGAATCTCTCCTGCAGATGCTCCAGGGACCATATGTGGTGCCAGGGACCTACTGGGGATTAGCCCAAACACTTAAATCCCTGTACTTTTTATGTACCATTTCAGAAACGACAAAGCTGTAGGGAAAGAAAAACAATTGCTGATCAACAGAAGCTTGTGGAAAGATAAGAATAATTAGAACAAGGAATTTGGGGGCTGTGAAATTTATGTAATACTGTGAGGGTAGGTCCATGTCATAATACATTTTGTTAAAATCTTTAGAAATGATTAGTTAGTAAGAAGGGCAGTATGGAGGAGAGTGCTGGTGTGAGGCACGGAGGAAGCCTGTGGAATTCCCTGTTTATTTTGCTCAGTTCTTCTGTAATCTATGCTGTGGGATTTTTAAATCTTTCTAAATTGCTGTCCTAATTTTAGCATTAAATTTAAATTTCTAAAACATTTAAATAATAAATTATGAAGTTCTGATGCACCTTTATTTGTATTAGTGTTTTATTAGTCAGCAAAACTAATGCAAATGAAGCTTAATTCATTTTTTCTCTAATTTCACTGACCTATCCAGAGAAAATTTGAATTTGTCTTCTAGGAATATATCCTGAGGATGCAAAAAAGCACAGTAGAAATGACATCTGTACCTATATGTTCATTGCAGCACTGTTCACAGTAGCCAAAATCTGGAAACAACCCAAGTGCCATAGAACAGATGACTGAGTGGTTAAAGAAACTTTGGCACATCTACACAATGGAATACTATGCAGCTGTCAGGAGAGATGAAGTCATGAACTTTGCTTATAAATGGATAGACATGAGACTATCATGCTCAGTGGAAATGAGTCAGAAAGAGAGGGACAGACATAGAAGGACTCCACTCATTTGTGGAGTATAAAACAACATAACATAAAGCAGACACCTAAGGATAGTAGATACACGGTACAGATAGATTGTTCCATAGCTGGAAGCCTGCCTCATGAGCAAAGGGGAGAAGGCAGCTGGAATGGAGAAGGCATCACTAAGAAAAAGATGACTGGAGGAATCAGTCGTGATGGGAGATATGTGCAGAAAGTAGATTAAGGACCAAACATGAAAACTTCTCAGGGTCTGTATTGCAAACCATAATGCCCAAAAGTAGAGAAAGATTATGGGGAATCATGTCTGCTATCAAGGCAGGGGGAGAGGGGGATAGAGGGGGTATACTGGGGATATTGGTGATGGGGAATGTGCAGTGGTAGAGGGATGGGTGTTTGACCATTGTGTGATTGTAACCCAAACATGAAAGCTTATAACTATCTCACGGTGATTCAATAAAATTTTTTTAAAAATTTAAAATAATTGTTCTCTCTCTCAAGTTTCTGAACATATTGTAGGTGTAAAGATAGTGCATTTTGGAAATTAGATTTATTTAAGTACATTCCATAATTAAGATGTTCCTTTTTTACTAATAAAGATAAAATTAAATGTATCAAGAACTTTGATGATAAGCTCATACATTATTCTCTAATTCATTATTCCCCATATTAGAAAAGAGTGAGGAAAAATAACTGAAGATGTCCTATAAAAACTAACTTCTAAAAATTCATAATGGTTGCATGTGTGTGAAGTCAGCTTGTGGCTGTAGTTGGCTCACTGGTGTTCAATGATGTATTCCCAGGTCCTTCAGCAGCTTCTGACTCATTGCAGGAAAAACAGAGATAAAGTTCTTCTTTTTTCTTTTTCCACTAAGGTGAGTTTCATTCTAATGTATTCTTGATTGGATTGGTTAAGCCCTAACCCTAAAAGCACAAAACCCAGGGGATCTCCTGTTGTTATTTTGTCTCATAATTGAAAAAGGAAATGGAAGAAGACTAACTTAAAACAGACCCTCAGATCTCAGACTTCAGACCTGTTACATTGTCACACCACAAAGATACTTTATAAAATTTTGTTAGTTTTGTTAATACGGTGTTATATACCATACACCATATTAAGAGTCTTAGGATATGGGGCCTGGAGCAATAACACAGTGGGTAACCCAGGTTCAATTCCCAGCATCCCATATAGTCCCCTGAGTATTGCCTGGAGTAATTCCTGAGTGCATGAGCCAGGAGTAACCCCTGTACAATGCCGAGTGTGACCCAAAAAGCAAAAAAAAAAAAGTCTTAGGATGTAGAAATGGCAAAAATAATAGAATGCCTTTATATAAATTTTTAGCCAATACTTTTAGTTTAAAAAAATTAAAGATCAACTTTTTCCCTAAAAGATTGATTTTTTGAGAAAAACAGCTTAGTAAATATTGAAGTCAGTTTCAGGATAATGGGTAAAAAGACAGAAAAGCATTTGTCACTCTTATAATTATTAGAAAGAAATTGTTAATTGCAATAATTTATACTTGGTAATCATCTCAGCAGTAGCGTGAAAATTCTTAAACCTTGAATTCTTTTTACCCACCTCTACCTTTCCTCTCTAGTTACTTGATGTGCTGCAACAATACTGCATGGCATCTGGACTCGATTACCGCCGACTTGATGGAAGTACCAAATCAGAGGAAAGAATCAAGATCGTGAAAGAGTTCAACAGCACACAGGATGTCAGTGTTTGCCTTGTCTCCACAATGTAGGAAAATAAATGATAATTTTTATCTAATTGCTACTTAGAGCTAGTGTAATAGTGTAATTTTTGCTATTACTGGATTAATTTTTGATGATGATGCCTTATTGATTTAGTGAGAGCAAAAATGCTTTCGTGATTTAAGTGACAGAATCTAGAGTTTTACTGAAACTTTTATTTTCCTTATCGTCATTGAATTCTCATTATGTATCTGCGTTTATAAAGATACCAATTTGAGAAATGGATGTTTCCAACAAACAGGAAATGTTCTTAACATAAATTTTGTAATCTGAGTAATCAGATTTAAATCTTAATTGATTAGTTTAGAATTTTTGTTTGTTTGGGGCCACACCAACAGTGCTTGGTTTCCTGGCTCTGTACTCATAGATTCTTCCTGGAAGGCTCAAAGGACCAGGAATTGAACCTAGATCCTGGCTGTGTTCAAGGCAGCTGCTCTATCTAGGTACTACCTCTTCGACCCTGAGAGCCATTTGTGATGGTAGTTTTCATACTTGGTCCAAGGATCCTGAAAGAGCTCTCTGCTTTCAGTGCACAAGGCATTTTCCTTCTTTATTTGTTCCTTGTTTCAAGCAGGTGAATATAGCTGGATATATGTTTACTGGAATATAATCTACTATATAATATATTTTATTTATATATAACATCATCCCTCTAGGACAGCCTGGCAAGCTACTGAGAGTATCCCGCCCGCATGACAAAGCCTGGCAAGCTACCTGGGATGTAGTCAATATGCCAAAAACAGTAACAACAAGTCTCACAATGAGATGTTACTGGCGCATGCTCGAGTAAATCGATGAACAACAGGAGGACAGTGCTACAGTGCAGTGCTATTACATATAATACGTATTTTATTTCTACAGATTATATATAACTAATGATATAGTTAACCTAATAGTTAAGTGAAATGTACCATAAGTTTTAAATGGTAATTCTAGAAAAAAATCTTGCAGAAAAAAATATTTGAATATCTAAAACTATAGAAATTAGTAGTCTATTTACATGAATGTTGATGGGACCTACCTGGCGCTGGCAGCAGCTGGTGGGTGTGACGCCTACCTACTGGAAGATGGGGGGTATGGGTGGAGAAGGCCCAGTCCCAATCCGAGTAGGCTTGGAGACCTAAGCCCCGGGACCCACATGTCTGGGTTCCTCTGCCAGTTCTTTCATGCATGAGGCCCGTCCGGACGTGTGGAGAGTGGTCCCAGCAGAATAGTATAAGATAGATATTTTATTTATAGTTTAATCACTTGTTTCATTATGACAATGCAGTGTTGTTTTGTTTTAATTATAGATATGTGGTACAATTGAATTTTAGAGCAACTTTTAAAAAATGCTTAATGTGGACTTTTTGTTTTCTCTAGGGCTGGTGGACTAGGGCTCAACTTTGTTGGTGCCAATGTTGTTGTATTATTTGATCCTACTTGGAATCCAGCTAATGATCTTCAAGCTATTGACAGGTGTAATACTTAGAAAATTTTAAGTGGGCTACAAATATTTTTAATTTTAGTACTACATGGAAAGTATCATGCTAAGCGAAATCAGTCAGAGAGGAATAGACATAGAAAGATTGCATTCATCTGGGGAACATAAAGTAACAAAATAGGAAACTAACACCCAAGAATAGCCGAGATTACTACCAGGAGGTTTACTCCGTGGCTTGGAGGCCAGCCACACATGCTAGGGGAAAAGGCAGCTTAGATAGAGAAAGGAGCACCAAATAAAGGGTGTCGGGAGGATCCTCCCAGGATGGGAGAAGCATGCTGAAAGTAGACTGTAGACCAAACATGATTGCCATTCAATGCCTGTTTTGCAAACCACAACACCCAAAAGGAGAGAGAGAACAAAAGGAAATGCCCTGCCACAAAAGGAAATGCAGGGTGGAATGGGAGGATGGGGGTGGGAGGGATACTGGGATCTATGGTGGTGGAAAATGGACACTGGTGGAGGGATGGGTATTTGATCATTGGATAATTGAAGCCAAGCACAAAAATTTCTAAGTTTAAAACTGTACCTCATGGTATTTCACTAATAAAAATTTAAAAAAAAGAAAAATATTAAATGAAAAATTTGATATAATAATAAAAAAAGAAATTCTAGAAATTAGAATTCTGGGATAGAGAGTGTATTAATAAATATGCTTTGGCTCTTGGTTGATTAAAAAAAGAAAAATTTAAAAACTACAGAATTTAGAATTTTTTTTAAATATTAAGAATTTTATTTATTTATTTATTTTTTAAATTTTTATTAGTGAGACACCATGAGGTACAATTGTAGACTTACAAATTTTTGTGCTTGGGTTTCAGTTATACAATGATCAAATACCCATCCCTCCACCAGTGCTCATTCTCCACCATCCCAGTATCCCTCCCACCCCCCATCCCCCAGAATTCAAAATTATTTTAGTCTCTATGATCTAGAAAGTGGCAGAAAAAAAATCCTACAGTAGAGAATTGTGGAGGTAGCCCGAAGGGTGGGGGGCATGTTTTGCATCGTGATGTTCCAGACTCAATCCTGAGCACTGCATGGGCCCCTGAGCACCACTGGGAACAACCCCAGAGCACTGAACCACGAGTAGCTCTCAAGCACTACCAGCTGTGGCACTAAAGCCAAAACAAAAAAAGAAAAAAATCGTGACCAGAGAGATCATATAGCTGCAGGGCACTTGCCTTGCATGCAGCTGACTCAGGTTCAGTTTCCAGCACCCCGCATGGTACCCCAAGCACCACCAGAAATGATTCCTCATCCAGAGCCAGGAGTAAGCTTTGAGCACCACCCTTCCCCCTTCACAAAAAAAGCCGAATAACTGAAACCAAAACTACAAAGTTAGTAGAGGGCACAGGGAACTTTCAAGCATGGAATTAGCAATGATTGCATGTTGAGAACAAATCAGAATGTTGAAAAAAAGCATCCTTTTTTTTCATTTGTTGTCAATCATGTTCTTTGGCTTTTGGGCTATACCCTCCAGTGCTCAGGGCCTAATCCCTGTACTGATTCTCTGGCCCTTCAATTGAATTGTATTTGTTTTTGTTTTTAATATTGTTGCAGAGCATATAGAATTGGGCAGTGCAGAGATGTCAAAGTGCTTAGACTGATCTCCTTGGGAACTGTGGAGGAAATCATGTATTTACGACAAGTATATAAGCAGGTAAATTTCTTTTCTTTTGTTTTAAAACCTAGGAATAATTTGCAGAAAATGTTTTCTTTAGTCGCAGGTACGAATTTTCAATCACAGTAATTTTGCAGTCCCATTACTACATATATATACATATATTTTCTTTTTGCTTATTGATGTGACTCATCTATGAAATAAAATAGCCTAGTATCTAATAAAAGATGATGGGTATTTTTCAAGCTTCATATAAAATAGTTGCTTTATGACATAATTTCAAGATGTGAACCATTAAAGAAAATTCAGCCATAAACTTGATAGGATATAGATAAGGTTCCAGTCATGTTAGGGAAAGATAGCCAATGCGGTTTGAAACTGATTGAAGCCTAAATCGAGGCCTCATATCGAGAGCACACTCTGACCTCCCTGGTATGCTCAAATATTTTCATGGGGAAATTCCAAAAGTAATGTTTTAAAAGGACATAAAACTTTTGGGAGAAGAAGGAAAAGTTCTCTGTGTGACCTACAAAGTATCATTAACCTTGAAAGACAAAGAGTGGTTAGGGTCAAATTGAGGGGAAAAAATCAAGCTAAACAACTGAGGACAAATGAAAGTGGTGGGTGCAACTTCTGGGTATTCCAAACTGACAACAGATACTTAAAAAGGGGGGGGGGGGGAATAACCTTTTTGGAACTGCTGGGGTCACATTTTCCTCTCTGGATAGATCCCCAACATGTCCTAAAACTGCCTCGCCCTCTCCCCCCACCCCCAGCGTGCTCTCTCTCTCTCTCTCTCTCTCTCTCTCTCTCTCTCTCTCTCTCTCTCTCTCTCTCTCTCTCTCTCCCCCTCCTCCCTCCCCCAGGTGAGGTTAATCTGGCTGACATCTTCCAGCTTTATTTGGAACTGGAGGCAAGTTCTCCTTGCTTCCAGCTCAGCTGATGCCTCCACACTTGCCTTCAGCCATATCAGCAGTTCAGCTCCACGTCTCCCAAAATTCTGCTTGCTCTGCAACCCTCCCAGGCTGTGCTCCACCTTTCTAGAACCACACTGCAGCTCATCATACCTCACACTGCTCACAGTTACACTTCCTGTCACTTAGTGAAGACAGGCAGGGAGAATGAGAGCAACTCCCAGAACAATCTCTCTGAGACTCCTAGGGGGCTGAGTCACTGATTCCCTGTCCTCCTGTTGTTCATCGATTTTTCTCGAGCAGGCCCAGTAATGTCTCCATTGGAGACTTTTGTTGTTACTATGTTTGCCATATCGAATACATTACGGGTAGCTTGCCAGGCTTTGCCATGCGGGTAAGATACTCTCAGTAACTTGCTGGGCTCTCTGAGAGGGGCGGAGGAATCGAATTTGGGTCGGCCATGTTGGCTGCATGCAAGGTAAACGTCCTACCCGCTGTGCTATCGCTCCAGCCCCTTAGGGGGCTAACTGCCAAAATTCATCCTCAACACAGCAAGTGTGTAACAAACCAATGGGAAACATATAGACTCCCACAAGGTTAGTGACTGCAAGCAGAGAAAGCTCAACCAGCTCTGTAGACTCTATGACTTTGGTGGATATCACAGTGAGGATATTTAGTGAGCTTAAAGAAACGATGGCACAGGTAGTCAGTAAAGCACAAAATAATATGAAAGCCAAAAGGGAGAAAATTATCATCAGAAATGAAGAGTATGGTAGGTATTAAAAAAATTCAATAGAAGATTTGAGCACCAGAATAACAGCAGATGAGGAGCACCAAAATGAGATGGAAGGAACCTCTACAGAACAACAGAAGATGGGGAAGACTAAGAATGAATAGCACATCGGAGAATGATGGAATGAGTTCTGGAGAAACAATGCAAGAATCACCAGTCACTGAAAAACAGAAAGACAAATCTTATGAAGACCCACTAGTTAAGGAAATCATAGATAACATTTTCCCAAAGTTGAGAAATCCAGGTACCCAGACCCAAGAGACCTGAAGAGTCCTAGTGAAAATAGTCTCAAATAGAAAAACTCCATACACATTGTATTTAGAATGAAGGAAACTACAGATAGAAACAGAATATGAAAAGCAACAGGACCATGAAGAACTCACATGCGAAGGAAAGCCCTTGAGATTCACAGATCTATTAAATGAAACTGAGCTAGAAGAGAGTGGACCACTATATTACAAAAATGGATTAAAATTAAAAACCTCCTAAAGAACGCTGTATCCAGGTAGATTACATTCAAATTTGAAGGGATAATACAGAGCTTCAAAGACAGGCAACAGATCAGGGAATTTATAGCCTTGAAGCCAATTTTGAAAAAAAAGTATGAAAGGTGCTTCTTTAAAAAACAAGACAAACTCCTCAGCACTTCTCACTGAGGATGGCCTGCACTCACGGTGCTGTGGCTGCCTCTTCTGGACTAAGAAATGTTTGTTTACTCCTATCCTGCTTAGGAATCGTATGCTTTTCAATAACATTAACATATCATTTATATTGAATGTTCTTCTGATCAGGTGTTTCATTTCTTTATATCAGTAGAGTGTTTTGTTTTGTTTTGGGACCATGCCCAGCAGTGGGCAGGGCTTATCCTTGACTACACTCAGGAATCACTTCTGTCAGGGCTCAGGAGACCATACGGGATACCAGGATTCAACCTGGACTGGCTGCATGCAAGGCAAGTGCCCTACCCATTTACTCTCTCCAGCCCCACAGAGTTTTTCTATATTAAAATCTCTTTCTTATTAATGCAGATATTTAAGAAGTACCTATAATATGTTTGCTTACGATAAAACATACTTTCATACTCTTATAGGTATATTCGGATTGTTCCCTTAAATTTTTCTTAATTCTTCTTACTAAATTTTACATTTGTTAGACTTATGTATTTCATGTAAATCTAAAGATATATTAGCACAGAACTATTCACAATGTTAAGATTTTAAATTTATATACCTGTAAGTAAAGTAAAGGCCCTCCCGTTGATCATTGATTTGCTCGAGCAGGCCCAGTAACGTCTCCATTGGAGACTTTGTTGTTACTGTGTTTGGCATATCGAATACGTCACGGGGAGCTTGCCAGGCTCTGCCGTGCGGGCAAGATACTCTCAGTAGCTTGCCGGGCTCTCCGAGAGGGGCGGAGGAATCGAACTCGGGCCGGCCATGTTGGCTGCGTGCAAGGCAAACGCCCTACCGCTGTGCAGAAAAATACTTTATCAACTTATCATTAATTTACAGTTTTGTGGCATTTCAGAAGTTTAGCTTTATTCTTCTATATGTGTATACGTGTCACCATCTCCACAGTAAATTTAAAAGAACAAAGGTCTTCTTCTCATGTTTGGTTAAAAAGGAACTGAGAACAATGAATGGCCGACATTGCTGGACCTGGAGGCTCTGTCTGTGGAGCTGTGCCATGGGGATGCTGATGGGGAGGCCCTTGGGACACTGTACAAGGTGTGGCTCTGGCGGGGAGAGGGGGTGGCAGCGTTGGGATGATGCATGCATGCCAAGTATGGTTGGCAGTATTGCAAATCCTGGTACCTCAATGAAAATGGTTAAAAATCATATAGGGCATCTTTGAGGTAACTGTTGTGGTCCCCCTTTGAAGTATCACTGAAGGTCTAGTAGGGCGGTTTATCCTTTGTAATACCGCCCCAGATGTATAAAATTGCAGTCAACAAGGCTGTCTACTCTCAACTGATAATTGACAAGAATACTCTCAAGTAGTAAGTAGAAATACTCAAAGGAGTGAAGTATGACAGTCTAATTTTTTTGCTGAAATCAAGAAGAAAGCCCTTCCCATTGCCCAGAAAATTTAAATACTTCCATCTTACACCTTTTGAGTAATTATTGCAATATGTCATTGAGATAAGCATATAAAAATTCTAAAAATGAATACCAAACAAAAAGTCATTATTGAAAAGTTTTTAAAATAATAAAAAATTATGAAAATATTCCTCTTAAGCTATTAGAGCCCAATCTCTGGAATTTATACATTTTACTGTATTATGAAGGCTGAAGAGATAACACAGTGGGCAAGGCGTTTGCCTTGCATGCAGCCGACCCGTTGGCTCAGGTTTGATTCCTTCGCCCCTCTCCGAGAGCCCAGCAAGCTACTGAGAGTATCTCGCCCACATGGCAAAGCTTGGCAAGCTACCTGTGACGTATTCAGTATGTGAAACACAGTAACAAATACAAGTCTCACAATGGAGATGTTGCTGGACCTGCTCAAGCAAATCGATCAACAACAGGAGGACAGTGCAGTGCTACTGTATTATGAGAAAATGGTTCCTTGTAGATGTGAGATGAGATTATGCTGGATTTTTGACCTGTTCCTAAGGTCATAGTGTCTTTATAAGAAAGGCAGAGGAAATGTGGCAGAGATGGGAAAAAGGACAGTACAAGCCAGAAGGCAGAGGTCTGGGTGAGCTGACCATATGGTAAGGAATGCTGACAGCCAGAGGCAGGGTGAGTCATCCCTGGAGACCAGGGCAAAGAGGTAGACCTACAACAGGTACCTTGATTTGAGCTCAGTAAAACTCAGCTCTAGAATAGCAGAAGGTTTAATTTCTGTTGTTTTATGGCACCAGATTTATGTTAACTTTTTAAGGAGCCATGAGAACTAACGTAAGATATTGAAGAAGAGAAAAAGAAAAAAAAACTTTTAAAATTAATATATTTTCAGAGTTAACTGAGGGAACAAAAACAGACTATTAGAGAAATAATCCAGAAATAAAACCTCTGGAGAAAGCCTAAGTCACAAAGCACAGTTTCATCTAAAATAAATATAGAAGTATTCAATTACTTTAGAAATATGACTATTGGTACTGAAATTTGACCAAAAACGTTGCAAGAACAGAAAATTACATACCATTATCTCTCATGAACATAGTGAACAAAGGATATAAGTATTTTTGCTTTGAAACTTTATATTTATCTTGAAATTATGATAAAAAAACAAAATTTATCCTCAAACATTTTTAAGTATACTATTCAGTATTCACATTGTGTCACAGATCACTATAACTTCTTTTAATTACTGTAGTTTTTACAGTAGTACAAATACTATTTCACATTTGTAGTACTGCTACATCATGCCCACTGAGAATGCAGAAATCCCTTCACTGTTATCCCAAATTCTCCCCATCTCCAACACATCCCCTTTTTCCCTCAGCATCTGTGGATAACAGTTCTATTGATCTCAAGGATTGTGTCCAATAGTAATTTTCTAATCCCTTGCTGTATTTCATTATACTCAGCATATGAGCCAAATCTACCTGTTACTTATCTCTTTTTCACTTAGCATGGCTTCCTCCAGTTCTGTCCTAGCTGCACAAACTTCTCATACCTCAGCAAATCCGTTGTATCTGTATATTGGAATTTCTTTATTTACTTATATGTTGTCGGGCACTTAGGTTGTTTCCAGAATTTGACTGTTGTAAGTAATGTTCTGATGATCATGCAAGGTAAGCACTGTAGCTGCTATACTATTGCGCATGCCCTATTCTAGTAATTGACTTTTGTGTATGGTGTGAGAAAGGAATCTTAATTTTTTTTTAATGTAGCTATTTAGTTTCCCCAGTACCATTTCTTAAGGAGGCTCTCCTTGCTCACTTCCTGTATCTAGCCCCTTTGTCAAAGTAAACTGTCTATAATTTAAGTGTTTATCTCTGATCTCTCCATTCTAATCCATTAGAATTGCATAGAAATGGTGGAAGAAGTCATGCTAAGTGAAGTAAGTCAGAAAGAAAAAGACAAATAAGCAGATCTCAGAGGATGTCTTTATTTTAGTACCACATGGTTTCATCAGTATGACTTAGTTGTAGAAACTGAAGTCTGGGAGTGCGGCAATTCCCATTTTCTGTTTGCTTAGGATAACTTTTGACTGTTCTGGAAGTTTTATGGTTCCATAGAGATTTCTCTAAACTTATTTCCAAAGTAAGAAATTCTTTCTAAATGGTAGCTGATACAGGATTTTAGGAATCAAAGAATATAAAGATGTTTCACATGTATTAGATATTCAGTAAAGTGACTGTTAATAAAAATAATTAATTTTAGTGTCCTAGAATAGTTCCATGTAGTTTAAAGATCGAGATCAACTGATGATGGTCACAATAAAGTTGCACTTCTTACTAATTTTAGTAAATGTAAATTGCTTTTTTGTTTGTTTTTTGGGACACATGCAGAAGTGCTCAGAGCTTACTCCTGGCTCTACACACACGGATCACTTGTGGTGGACTTAGGGCACTTTATAGGATACCTGGGATTGAACTGTGTCAGCCACTTACAAGACAAGCACCCTTCCAACTGTACTATCTCTCCAGCCCCTTAAATTGCTTTCTGTTATGTATTCTTTATTTCAAGAGATTTTAAATATATGAGATTAATCAGATTATACTTGATTTTAAATTTTTATATCACATTTGATAACTACAAAGAAAATAAATAGGCAATTAATAACAATAATTCTAAAGTGCTGCTTGTCTTAAGGGTTTCCTCCCATTCTATATTTTCTATAATTTTCTTTCAAAATGCACTGTTTCTAAAACAGTGATTGAGTTTTGTCATTAACTGATAATGTAACCTAACCATGATCATAATTAGTTTGACACTAATTTGGTTACTATATAAGTACTTTATAATTATATTGGGCAATGCAGTGATTATTGCTGCCTATTTCAACTGCTTTCTGCTGTAATAAGTCTAGAAAGGAGAAAAATGCCTCAACCATATATTGTCCTATCAGATGGTTCACATCAAATCACTGTTTCACAGAGATGGAATCTTAATATTGGAAATCTAAGACATCTTCTTTAATAAAATCAGCCAGATAATGATGGTGATGATGGTGACGTTGTCACTGTAATAGCAACATCTTCTGCAGAAATTAAAATGAAGTTTCCTCCTGAGGAGGTTCTTCTGCCTGCTCCAGTAAACCTGTGTCTATACAGAAAATGCCATGAAATACTGATAAATCATTGGAACAAACACTTCAAAAGTATCTTGTGTTTTTTCCTGTTTTAGCAACTTCACTGTGCAGTGGTTGGAAGTGAAAATGCCAAGCGTTATTTTGAAGCAGTTCAAGGATCAAAAGAGCATCAAGGAGAGCTTTTTGGGGTCAAGAATCTCTTCAAATTAAGATCCCAAGGGTCTTGTCTTACAAAGGACATCTTGGAGGTGCGAAAGTTTGGGGGTTTTTTGATGATGTTTTAAAAATGATTTTGTTCACGGTTGAGTGTGGCAAGATGGCACTGGAGGCAGGTTGAGGGCGCGACTTCCCGGATTAGGGGCTGACCCCAGGAGGGAAAGGCTGTTTGTCCCTTCGCCTTTTCCCCCTGGTGGCAGCGGCATGGTGGCCACCATCTTTCAGAGCCTAATGGACAGCCACTGAGACTGCAGTGACGAGGCACGCGGGGCCTCATGGGATGGGGGGTGGAACCAGCCCATCATATGCTCTTCATAATCAGCAATAGAAAACAGATTGTCTAATTATATCTTTTTGGCAGGTCTGATTGTTGGGGAAAATTCCAAATAATAATGGTGGGACTTTTGTCGTAATATTGAATGTGATCAACGTAGAGAGAGTAAAGTGGATATTTGCCACACAGGCAGAAGGAGGGGTGGGGGGTATACTGGGGTTCTTGGTGGTGGAAAATGTGCACTGGTGAAGGGATAGGTCTTTGATCATTGTATGACTGACCGAGACTTAAACTGAAAGGCTTTGTGGCTGTTCTCACAGTGATTCAATAAATAAAAAAATTTTTTTAAAAAATGATTTTGTACCTCAGGAAACTTGAAAGACAGTGTTGATAATTTTTCAAATATTTTTGTTTTTATTTGTAAAAATACTTAGAGCTCTGTTTACTTAAGATAAACTAAAAAATGAATTAATTGTTCCTCTAAGATTTTCCTATGTATAGTTGCAATTAATATACATGTAATTGGAAAATGTAAACTAGATAATGTGACCTCGAAGGGCATTTTCTGGCTAGCATAGAGAACTTTATTATTTAGAAAACAGCTGTTGAGTCAGAAACTGAAAAAGAGAATTTTCTAAATACGTATTTCTAAACACGTTTTGATTTAAAGTTACCAAATACTCTCTGAAATGCAATCGTGGAGTTTTTGTTTTCTATCCTCAGTAAATATCCCACAGCAGTATTTTAAACCTCCCAGTTGTGTTCATCCTCGGCATACAGATGTTTCTTATTCTTTAATAATAATATTCTTCATATCTTCAACTCTTACAGGTCCTGAGTATATCAATTCTAAAATGCTAAGAATATTAACCTACTTTCTAGTTGATACTGATATAACAATTCTGAAGTATTTTTAAAAACTTTCTCATAGAGATGTCTCTGGAAAGTTAAGAAGATTTACTTCCAGATCTTACAATAAAGCTTGAATATACTTTATTTGGTGAACACTGTAAAAACATTCAAGTGTCCTAAAACTTACACCATTTTAGTGGGAGATGGAAGAGAACATTTGCATGGTGTAGCATCATGTAGCATGTAAGCTTGTGTTAAGCACGCTCAGAAGCACCTGTGAGCAAGCACTGATGATTGAGGAAGAGAAAGGTACCTAGTATTTGGAATCTGTGAACAGAGTTGCTGTTACATAACATCTGATGCAGACTGTTGATTCTGAGTCCTGCAGGACGCTCACTGACAGCCTCCCATGTAATTTTTTTTGCTTTCTGCTTTACGTTATCTATACCATGGTTTCCCTTCAGCAATTATTAATGGAAATTTATTTCGGAAATCTGAGCTTATGCTAAATACCAGGTGGTATTTATTTATAGAGCTAAATTTAAGAGATGACTAAAACAAAAATCCTTTCTCTAAACAATGTAAATTATATTTAGGGGTAGACAGATAATAAAAGATATTTAAGTAAAACATATAGTATGTTATGATGGGATACAAGGAGGAAAAATAGAGCTTATAGAATAGAAATGAGTTTGGAGAGTTAATATAAAACATAGAATTATAGCTCGTGATACTGTATTGCAGACTTTACAATTAAGAAACTAGATTTTTAATGTTCTCACTACAAAAATTGATTTTTTTAAAAAAGAGTTAAGTTTAAAAAACATTAAGTGATATGGTAGACGTTGTTAAATCCACAATAGAAATTCTTGGCAGTATATAAGTGTATAAAATCATCATGTTATATACTTTTAACTTACACCATGTTCTATGTAAATTATTTCTCTATTAAAAAAAGAAGAGTAAGGAATGGCACTAGGAAAAGCCTTAAGGAAAGTGCACTGTAGTTCTAGATGGAGCAGCTAAGTGAGATACCCTGTAAGATGGCAGGTGGTCCCTTTGAGAGACAAGGAGGCTGCATCAGAGGAAGATGCTGAGGCTTTGAAAAACAAATATGCCCAGATTCCATCAAGTCCAGAGGTGAGAGGGATGGGGTTGAGTGAGAGAGAGGGCCAGACACCTGACAGGAAGGCAAGACATGATCGAGCAAACACTTTGAGACAAAGATGTCCCGATATATACCAGTGTCCAGATGTGGAGAGGTTGACCACTCTTGGTCTATCACTTTGACTAACTGCTAGTCTGAAGACTGTTAGACAGGACAGATGCCAGTGCACGGGTGTAAAGAAAGCTGCTCTATAGTCTGAAGTGTTGAAAATTAGACTGTGAAAGTGTGGAGCAAAAGTAAGAGGCCAGCTAGGAGGAGAGAGACTGCAGCAGTGACCCAGTCTTCTGGCAGTGGCAGGATTTGCTCATGGTTAAATTAGAAAGTGTGAGGAAAAAGTACCAAGAAGGACTCCAGGGAGTCTGGCTTGAGGATGAGAAGACTGAGGTTTCTGTTTGCCTTCTGACAGAGGTGCTTGATGCCAGTGGCAGCTGCATTGAGCAGTTAGCATCTACTGCAGAGCACAGTAGCACAGGAAAGAAGGAGGCTCTTCTCTGAGCAACACCCTACAGGGTAGATACTTATTTGATTCCTAGTGGCTAGAATCATGTCATTGGTGTGGGGCATTACCACTGTAGTGATAGCAGTGTTATTTTCTCTTGTCTTATCAACAAATAAAACCTATAAAAAGAAATTATGTTATGTCCTTTTGAAGGAAAATTTCTAGAATCCAGGTCATTAAATATTTCTCCCAAGTGACACAGCAGAAACTTGAAAAGCATGCTTTCCCAAATGGTGTAGCAAATATGTTATATATTTAAGATCTTTTTTGTGACTTTTAGTTTCATATTAAGGTAGGCCTTAGGGGCTGGTGTAATAGTACAGCAGGTAGGGCATTTGCCTTGCACATGCTGACCCGGGTTTGATTCCCAGAATCCCATATAATCCACCAAGCACCACCAGGACTGATTCCTGAGTGCATGAGCCAGGAGTAACCCCTGTGCATTGCCAGGTGTGACCGAAAAAGTAAAAAACAAACAAAGATAGGCCTTTTCATTTTGATACCTGCTCTTCAGAGGAATCAATGTATTTTAATGACTATTAACACCATGTTAACTAGACTGTTAAGTTCCTAGTCTCCACATTATTTGTGAAGTTGAAATCTTGCTACTATGCCCTTACTGTCATTTTGTTGCACAAGTTCGGTTTTGATAGATATGTTTACTGAAAAAGTAAATTATTTTTGCTCTCCTGCTAGATCTTTTAATGAAGTTTGCTGCAAAGTACTGTTAGTTTTATATCTGAAAAGAGTAAATGTGAACCCAAGAGCATTTAAAGTGCCCAGTACCTTTCCACTGCACAGCTCTTCTACCTGACAATCCAGAGGATTCAAGAAGGCTCTGGAAACTGCATTAGTTCCTCGATTAACAGGTTGAAAAATAACATTTAGAGAGGGAAATACAAGCTGTGCACTGTTTTTCTTTCTTTACTCCATGTTATAGAACACTGTTGCTCCTTGCCTGACTATCTTTACACTGTGTTCTCCGTTTGTGTTCTGAACAGAGAGAAGGCCAGGTGGAAGCAGGCGTCATGACGGCCACCAGCTGGTTGAGAGAGGAGCCTCAAGCACATCAGCAGGGAGTGGTGAGCAACTTTAATACATAGATCAGAACTTCTAGGGAACAAGGACTGTGCCCACTTTAATTTCTTTAGTTTTCCCCTTCTCTTTTTCAATATGAAAAGAAAAAGTCTTTTAATCTCACTCATATGTAAGGGACACTAATCAAGAGATGGTACAATATCCAGTAACAACAGATTCCTACACTCTGACAGCAGAACTGATGTTACCAAGACGTGGGAGAAAGAGCCGAAAAGGCCTTATGTTCTGTGGTAGATGGTTAGGAGCATCTTGGTGGTGGACGTGGTATCATAACACTAAACCCCCTAAAACAAATATTTTTACTTATGTAAACCCTTGTTACGGCAATTAAAAAATATTTTAAGGAAGTCAGGGACATGTAGAGTACTATAGTAAAATGAATAATTTAGATCCGTTTTACATCTAATATTATAAGAAAAAGTATATCTAATATTATAAGAAAAAATTCAGGAGTAATCATTAGGCATTGAAATTTTAACTGTAAGAAACAGTAAATCTAGGGGCCAGAGTGATAGTACAGCAGTTAGGGCATTTTCTTTGCACGCTACTGACCTGGATTTGGTCCCTGGAATCCCCTAGGGTCCCCTAAACCCAGTAGGAGTGATTCTTGACTACAGAGCCAGGAGTAAGCGCTGTGCATTGCCAGACGTGACCCAAAAACAACAAGCAAAAAAACCAATAAATCCAGAATTATACGCAATGTATAGGTGACTGACCCAACATAAATAAATAACCTTTTACTAAACAGAAATTGAATGAGAAAATATCCATATGTTTCATATTAAATCTTGAAGTATCCTGACTCAAGCAGATTTTTATTTGAGTTCTTGGTCTTGAAGTTTTTTAGTAGTTTGTTATATCTCATACAGAGTCTGTATTGTTATCATAAGGCCTTTTTTAAAATATGCATTTCAGAGCCAGAGAGATAGTTTAGGAAACAGATCAGTGGGTGCAGAGGGGCAAGTTATTGTAGGGTGTTTGCCCAGAGTGGACCTGTTTGGCTAAGGATACCCATAAGTCTCCAAGGGAACACCACACTTTCCTGCAAAGGGTCCTGAACAGTTTTCACTAACACAGAGTCGATAGAAGATTTCTGTGACTCTACATCCCTAAGAACTTTTGACATGTCTCATCTTAATTTTTGTTAATTTAATGATATTAGGATTTAAGTGTGTCTCTCTTACTCTATTGGTGAGTTGCGCTTTTTTTTTTTTTTCAGATGTTTCATTGGCATCTGTGTGTGCTTTTCTGTGAAATCTCAGCGAATGGTTTTTCTCCATTTCCTTCTGGAACAATTCATAGCTCTAGCACGCATAACACCATCAATGGTTACTGTTCTAGAGATCTTTTACACTTGTTATTTATCTTTTTACTTCCTCCCGGGTTTCTTCTGAGGACTGACCCAGGTTTTGCTTGCTGACCATTTTCTCTGTTGTTGTTACCATTTGATAAAATAGTATTCTCAATTACAATTAGTTTTTTTGAAAGTTAGTCAACTTGAAATAAAAAATATAGTGACTAAAGTTGTAATATTAAATCCATCATTTTTTCTTTCAGAAAATACTAAATGATGTACATATTCTTCGCAAACTTCATTCTCTTTGATAATATCTCAGATCTCTTCTAGATTTGATATATTATTTTGACCAATTCTAATTTTTTTGTCATTGCTTCTTCCGTAGCCTAGCAAGGTAAACTGTGAAGAACCCAGAAATCCAGCGGAACCTGTAGAACTATTGGCAGAAGAACCATGTGATCTCTGCAGTGATTTTAGTGATGATGAAGCAGGGGGAAACTCAAGAGTAAAGAATATTACAAACAAAGCATCTAATTCAAGTAAAGCTCCGGGTCCTCTCGGCCAACCAACTTTATTCCAGTGTGGATTTTCTAAATTGTTTGAAACACAGTGTAAAGCAGTTAAGGAAAGTGGTGGAAATAATGTCTCGCTTGATGAAAGTTCTGATGCAGAACCTATATCCAGTGATGTTCATCATCAAGAAAGTTCAGACTCTTGTGGTACTTTAAAACATCAAAATTCTGGTGCTATTCAAAATCCAAATGAGGAACATATTTTATTTAAAAATGAGAAAATATTGGAGACTTCTTCCGAGTCTGATGATGAAAAAAAAATTAAAAATACAGCTGACCTATGTGATTTCCAGATTGCCACAGAATCAGATGAAAGTGATATTATTTTCCCCACACAACATCCTACAAAAAGATTATCTGAAAATAACCTAGGGTTGAGGCCACTCGTGGATGAATCTGGAGGTTCTGAAACAGAAAACTCTGCAAAATTAATTAATGGTGGTAATGGTAGAAACGCTGATATCAGAGGAAATGGACTAATTTCAAAACAGTTAAGTTCTGAGAACATGCCCCTGAGATCTCTTATGAAAAGAAAAAGTACTAGTGATATTAGTGATGAATCTGATGACATTGAAATTTCCTCCAAGTCAAGAGTAAGAAAACAAAGAAGAATTGATGTTTTGAGGCCTAAGAGAAACAGAGAAAATAAAAGGGAACCTAAAACAGAGAAAACAGGCCAACCATGTGCAACAAATGTATATTGTCATTCTCAGACCATTGATGATTTTGTATCTTCAGATGATGATTTATCTATCAACCACATCAGTTTCTCTAAACAGAGTCAAAGACCAAAAACTGTAAAAGAAAGAAGTTTCTCTTCAAAATTGCCCACCCATAAGAAAAATACCACTTTCCAATCAAGAAAAGCACTGAAAATTTCAAATAAGACAGTTGTTAATCAAGAACAAGTGTGTGAATCAATGGACAAACTTTTAGGTAACTACAGAGAAATTCTGAAAACTTTTCCTTTGCTACTTCTTTGTGCAGTCAATTTCAGTTTTAAATTCTCCAAACATAGGTGAGGAAGGGAATGGGTGGCAGGACCAGGGACAAGATATGGAACTTTATCTTTCCCAGGAAATTTTATGTCTCACAACTTTTGTACTAATTTATATTATCACACAAGTATGTATCACTGGATACTATAGTTCCATTCATTTAAAAAAAAATCCTTTCAATCTATTCTATACCTTTACCTTTCCTTTCACTTTTTTACCATTTATCTGTTGAATCAGCCATTTATGCAGTTCTCAAAATTTGCCTCTTGCTATGAACCCTCATAGCAGTCTGACATGTTCCTCTGCCCACTTTATGGCCCTCTAACAAGTAGTTAGTCCCTGAGATGATATTAAACCTGAGATTTAATGGTTTAATGTTTAAGACAAAAGTCATGTTTGGCTCACTTTAGGAAGCACGAATATAATCATTTTTGCTTCTCTCTCTGTGAACTCAATCAGTCTGTCAGTGCTTCAGGGGTGATGGTGATTTTCCTGCCTATACCCCCACACCTCATCTAGGGGGTGGAGCTGCAGTAGTCACCTGTACATTTGAGGGTTTCTTGTTTGATTAAAGAAGGTAGACTGTAAAATCTAAGCATGCTGAAGGTTGTGTGTTCATGGGCTCTCTGGGCGGCTCTATCTCACCGCCTGCATTCGGTGCTCTTGAGCTGCTGTGTGTGGCCTGGATCAGGATGACTGTTGGCCAAGGGCAGACGAAGGAAGAAACGAGGGCCAGGCTGGTCGATATCAATTGTAATTTATTCCAATCTCCACTCCCCTTCTGCTTCTCTCTCTCAAGCCTGAGCCCCTCTTGCTCTGACTCTGGATCTCTGGAGCCTGAGCCCCCTCCTAACTTACAGTCTTAGTTGATATAGCAATCACATAGGGTGGTGACACAAAGATGGGTTGAACATTAACAAATAAACAGAGAGGTAAAACCACTCCTCCAAGAGATTAACTCAAAGATAAAATTTCATCTAAAGAGATTACTCCAGATTACTAGGAGATCTGCTCAAGGGTGGGATCCCAACAAGGGTGTGTTCTTTTCTCAGATAGTAATCTACTTAAATAGTTGTAGTAAATCTACTTCTAGTATTTCTAGCAATGTCATTCTGTATGAGCACAGTAAGAGATAAAACTTACAGTTTAGTTCTTCCTGAGGACATCTCACTGTATATTCCACAGTCTTCAGGCGAGGTTAGTCTCTTCCTAGCCCCAACAGGGTCCTAGTCTTGTTGTTACTTACTTTTGGATCATGATAGCATTTGTCCATGAACGAGCCCTCAACTTACAGTTGAATATTGTAGTGCTTTGGCCTGGCCTATTTCAATGCCAGGGTAGTTCACAGCTTGCCCTGGCTCCATTCAGTCCCTCGTTGGGACCCTGCTTTGGGGGTGCAAGGAACTAAGGGCAACTGAGTCAAGAAAGCAGATGCCCAGGAGTAAATATTCAGAGTCAATCAACTCCTAAGTTACAAAGCATAATATCAACTGTCTTTCTGTGTCCATACAGAAAGGACATTGCTTTAAGGTAAACGATTCAAAAGACATAAAGAGAGGAGAAAGGCAATATTAACTTATAATACAAGTTCAGTGTCCTAGAAAGATCTGATCTTACAAGGTAACAGAATCTGATTAAGGAGAAAAGGTGATTAACTGGCTGGGGAGGAGAGCACAGAGAAGAGTTTACAGATAAATAGAGGAATGGGAATGATCCTTCCCACTGGGATGGGTGTGACCCGATAAACCTAAGCTACCTGAGGAGGGACAAAACATTGTTATCCTACAGTAAACTAGGGGGTAATGGTGCTAAGAAATTTACTTTTTGAAGGGGAAAGAGGCCGGCAGGTCAAATAAGCTTGAGAATCTCTGTTAGACCATAGCATTTTTCATAAATGGTCAGTGCTTATAACAACATTTAGAGTAGCAAAGGTGTTTTTTACTTTTCATTAAAAAAAAAATTGTAATTGAGAACACCTCTGTTGGGAGAATATTCCCTATGCAGTTCTTGAGAGAACACAGAAAAAGTAATGCTTACTTTATTTACAAGGTTTAGGTTTTTGTTTTTGTATAAAACAAAATTTTATTTTCCCCCCTTTTTATTGAAGCACCATGAAATACATAATTAAAAAGTTTTCCATGATTGGGTTTCAGTCATAGTGTTCCAAAACCCATCCCTTCACCTGTGTACATTTCCCACCACTAATGTCCCCAGTTTCCCTCCTGCCACTCCCCCCCCCCCACACACACACACATCTTGCCTCTATGGTAGGCATCTCTCTCTCCTCTCTTCCTCTCTCTTTCCCTCCCGCCCTCCCCCATCTCTCTCTCATATATATATATATATATATATTTATATAAAATATATATGTACCCCTCTCCCCCGCTTTTTGTCTTTCCACCCTTCTCTCTCTCCCTCCCTTTCTCTCTCCTTCCCTCTCTTTCTCTCTCTCTCTCTGTCTCTCTCTCTTTCCCTCTGCCCCCAGCCTTTTTAGGCATTGTGGTTTGCAGTACAGGTACTGAAAGGTTTTCATGTATATCACTTTACCTCCTTTCAGCACTCAGTTCTTGTCCAGAGTTTTCATTTCCAACTGTCACTGTCATAGTAATCCCTTCTTTGTCCTTATTCACCCTCTGCCCCCAGCCGCCACTTGTGGCGACCTTCCAATCATGGACCAGTTGTCCTGGTCTTCATTTCTGCTGTCTTTGGGTATTAGTTTTATAATCATAATATGCTTTCTTATATCCCACAAATGAATGTGGTCAATCTACGTCTGTCCCTCTCCCTCTGACTCATTTCTCTCAGCTTTTTAATAGTCTCCATGTCCATCCACGTAGAAGCAAATTTTGTGACCTCATTTTTCCTGGTAGCTGTGTAGTGTTTTGTTTGTATGTAGATACACCATAGCTTCTGATAGTCATCTGTTCTCAGGCATGTGTTGTTACTGGTGGATTGTCCTCACTGACTAGTATTTCAAGGGTCCAGGCCAGGTTGGGCCCTTCAAATGGTTTCGGTTGGTTGGTTTCAGGTGTTCTCAAGGACTTTGGTTTTGCTATCTAGTATCCATGGAAGGAGTCTGAGAGAGACTGGAGGATTGCTTCCCTACTCTTACCACCTCCTGAGAATCTCTCTAGTGATTTAAACATTATTTTCAAAAAAAAAAAGCATGACATCGCTGAAATCTGAGAATGATCATTGTATTTGTCTTTATTTTACAAATAGGGCTTTCTTGTGTGGTTATTAGCAGTCGTTTAAAACTACATATGTGGTCGATGAGATTGTACATAAGATAGTACCTGACTGGTTCTGTTCCCAATACCACAAGGCATCCATACACATCCATACAGGGAGTGGCTGGGTGTCACCCTAGAGACCCCTGAAAACCAGGGTGGCACCACAGGGCCAAGCAGCACTGCATCCTACCATCCTAGCATTGAACCACCAGCCTGGTTGTCTGAATATTGCCAGGGTGGCCCCTGGGCCCCCTGAGTATCATTTGAGAACCACCCCCCTCAAAAGTTAACATTTTTGTTCTACTGTTGGTACAAAGTACTTAATTGTCCTTTGATTTGTCTTCTGTTTTTAGACTTGAGGTGTGAGGAATTTTTGCATAAACCTTTTTAAGAGATCAGCTGAGGGTTGTTCCTTTTGTTGTTGTTTTTGTTTTGCTTTTTGGATCACACCCAGGGATGCTCAGGGGTTACTCCTGGGTTTGCACTCAGGAATTACTCGTGGCTGTGCTTGGGGGACCATACAGGATGCCAGGGATTGAACCCATCAACTGCCTGCAAGGCAACCGCCCTACCTATTGTACTCTCACTCTGGCCCCCAGCTGAGTTTTTTTTGTTGTTGTTGACTTTTAAAGTTGCAAATAGGTCATATGTGAAACTAACACTATTTTGAATAAAATGCTACAGATTTGAGAATCTTTTCTACTGGAAGATTCCTTTTGAAGTCTTTGAAATGGCTTCCATACATGCAGTCAGGCATTTGGAAATTTCAGGAGAGTGTTGTTTTAGTTGCACTTTTAGTCTTCTGTTTGACAGCATTTTGTTTTTGTATGATTGGCAGTCCTCACTGAAGGCTTTCCAGACCAAAAGGGTTGAAGATTGTACTAGCTTCACTGTCAGAGCTGTTTGAAGAAGACTTTTACAAACCTCAGATCTAGCCCTCTCTCTTATGACCACAGTTTTAAAAGTAAACTTTAGGTGCCTAAAGCAAAGCAATCTAAAATTTTTTAAGTAAATATTTTTTAAACTTTCAGGTAAAAGCCTTTTCCCCCCATTTTCTTAAAAGCTTTTATCTTGAGTATCCTTAGGCTTATGTACAAAGACAGAGACAAAATACCAGTTTAAATGAACAAAGCCATCTAAACCACATGTTCCTGCTCCATCACTCTAACCAAGATGAAGTTAGACAGCTCTTTAAATGAAATATTTTTTAGTTTTTTTTAAACTTTTTTGTTTGTTTTATTTTGGAGCCATACCCAGTGGGGCTTCCTCCTGGCTCCCTGCTCAGGGATCACCCCTGTTAATGCTGGGATTCAGACTGGGGTCAGCCATAAGCATGATCAGTGCCTACAACCCTTGCACTGTTCTCTTTGGCTCCAAATTAGAAATTTTTAAATCAGCAAAGGCATCAAATTCTTATTATTGGGATGACTTTCAGCCAGGACCTTTCTTAATGCCAAAACCTCATTTCAGATTTAAATCTGAAAATTATTTCCTAATCGCAGTAGTTCACATTAAAGTTCTTTCCAAGTTACCCTAAACCACGGCTTCTCCTTGTGGACACGGATAGCGATAGCCCTGGGCAGTGTTGCTGGGAGGATCCAAGAGACAGTAGTAGCCTGTGGTGCAAATTGGGGTGCCAGGTGCCTTGGGCAGTAGTTTGGGTAGTGCAAGGTGCCTTCTGTTTGTTCCCTTTCCAGGACCTAATTTTTTTAATAAGAATGATGGTAGGCCATCTAAGTTTGGGAACCTTTGACATATGTCAACATATTGAACTCTTTTTGTGTGTATGTATTTTAATATTGCAATATTGACATACAAATTAAATATTTCACTAAGAAATTTAAAATAAAATTAGCACTACTTCAAGCAATATTTTTTGGGGAGACGAGGAGGAGGTTTTGGGGCACTCCTGAAGATTCTCAGGAGTTAACTCTTGGCTCTGCACTCAGGAATTACTCCTGGCCATTCTCAGGGGACCGTAGGGGATCCCAGGGATAGGAACTCAATTATCTGCATGCAGGGTGAATGCCCTATCTGGTAAACTGTATCTCCAGCTATACCAGCAATTTTTTTAAGTATGCATAAACACATACTGCTTTTGGTGGTGAGTTGGACCTCATGGTGCTCAGGGGCTGTACTCGCTTGATGCACAAGGATCACCCCGGGGATGCCAGAGATCAAACTCTGCCTCCTACATGCAAAACACATGTTTAGCCCTTCAAGCTATCTCTCTGGCCCCTGCTTTGCTTCTTGTTTTGTTTGGTTTGGGGGGCCACACCCAGCAGTGCTCAGAGCTTACCTGTGCTCAGGAATCACTTCTGGCAAGGCTCAGGGAATGGTGTACAGGTGCAGGAGAACAAATCCCACTCTGTCACAGGCAATGCAGGCGCCCTGTGCACCCTACTAACTGTCCAGCCCCCACATTGCTTCTTAACAGCACATCATGATTATCTCCTAGATGGTGTTCAGGAAGTAGCTTACGTTCACTCAAACCAGAATGTGATTGGATCGAGCAAAGCTGAAAATCACATGAGCCATTGGGCAGTGCGTGATGTATTTGAATTGAAGCAATTTTCTCAGCTTCCTGCTAATATAGCTGTTTGTACTTCTAAGGTAAGAAAATCTGAGGTAATATCTTTCATTTTCAATTAATTTCACAGAAGTTGCTTTAAAAAGTCTTCTAGGTTCTTCATTTTAAAATGCTAATAAAATTGTGACACCATTTGGTGCAGTGTAGTTACTGAAGATGTTTTGTGTTAAAAGATTGATCTCTCTGAATACCTTGATCACTTGATCACTTGACATCCCATTACTCACCAGTTTGCTCGAGCAGGCACCAATAACATCTCCATTCGTTCCTGTCGCATGCTAGTGTAGTCCAGTGGCGTCTGCTTGTTCTAGGAACACGAAGAGCCCCAAACAGATCGTTCATGATCTTGATGAAGAAGTCTGACCATCTGGTAGGTGGGCGGCCACGCGGTCTTTTGATATCCCGTGGAATCCAGTCGGTAACAGCTCTAGTCCAGTGGTCATCTTCAAATCTCATTACATGTCCAGCCCATCTGATTTTCAATGCCTTGGCATACAAGACAGCGTCCCTGATTCTTGATTGTCGACAGAGGTCGGAATTCCAGATTCTTTCTCTCATTTTCGTGAAGCAGGTTACTCCAAGCATAGCTCTTTTGATTCCTCTTTGGGAGACCCGGATAGCATTCTCAATCCCGTTTTCACAGGGCCCAGGTCTCTGAGGTGTATGTTAATGCAGGAAGAACAGTGGAATCAAAGAGATGTGCCCGGAGCTGAAGGTTCTTTGTCCTCTTAGCTATTTCTTTGTCACTCATAAAGGCGTTCAAGCTGCTCTCTTCCTCCTGTGCAACTCAGGTGCCAGGTCATTTGTCATGTTGACTTCTCGACCTAGGTACACATAACTGTTGCATTCAGAGATGTTTATTCCATTGAGAGCGAATGGGATGTCAGGAACAAAACTGTTTCTCATAAACATTGTCCTTGTGAGGTTCAGCTGTAGTCCAACCTTTCCACACTCACAGTCGAAGTCGGCCAGCATTTGTGCTGCTTGGCTAATGTTTGGTGTTATTAGAACAACGTCATCAGCAAAGCGGAGGTGGTGTAGTTGCCTACCGTCTATCTTCACTCCCATTCCTTCCCATTCTAGTCATCGCATGATGTTTTCAAGGGTGGCACTGAAGAGTTTCGGTGAAATGGTATCACCCTGCCAAACCCCTCTCTTGACGTCAATGATCACTTCCCTGTAGAATGGTGAGATCCTGGTAGTGAATCCATAATAGAGCTCACGGAGGATCCTGATGTATTGAGTTTGAATGCCCTGTTTGGCTCGGGCTTCGATGACTCAAAGTCCTTCTTTAAATCAATGAACGTTACAGAGCAGCATCTTGAACTCCCGAGAAACCTCAATGAGCTTGGTTATCCTGTGGATATGGTCGATCATGCTGAATCATTTGTGGAACCCAGCTTGCTTGCATGGTTGTCCTTCATCTAGTATTCTGCCAATCCTATTCAGGATGACTCAAGTGAACCCCTTGTAGATGACAGACAATAGGCAGATTAGGTGGTAGTTGCCAATGTCGTGGATGTCTCCCTTCTTGTACAGTAGTACAGCCCTGCTGGTTTTCCACTGGGATGGAACCTTGCATTTAGACAGGTAGCGTGTGAAGTGCCAAGCCAGTGTATTGATGAGTACCAATGGCAAATTCTTCAGGTGTTCAGGTCTGACCTTGTCTGGGCCGGGTGCTGTTCTCTTTACCAATGAAATGGCATGTTGGATTTTGGAAGGTAGAACGTTGGGAATGACATATTCATCCTGAGGAATTTGGTAGGTGGGCAGGTGGACGTGGCTATTGAAGAGATCCGAGTAGGAGTCATGAATAATCTTCTCCATTGCCCTTCTGGAAGATGTGATAGATCCATCAGGACGTCGGAGGGCAGTCGTCTTGGTCTTGTAGTTGGCGAAGGACAGATGGGCATTGTGAATGCTTTTCCAGGATTCTGCTGCATCTGCCTGCACTGCTACTCTTCTCTTTGAGGTCTTCCTTTATCACATCTCCGCACTGCTTTGCGAGTGTAGAGAAGCACTGTTAAGCAATTTAACATTATTAGGCATTCCGAGAGGAATAGAGATCCTCTTTGAATGCCTAATGTTAAATTACTTAACAGTTTCTTTTAAAAGTTTGCAAGAAATAAGGAATCTGAGAAGCTTGTACTATTAAATAAGAACCAAAACCATTGCTATGCATCTAGTAAAAGTAAAGTGTATGATCTTGTAGTTTCCCTCCAAAATTTTTTTAATTTTTATTTTAATGAATCACCATGAGGTACAGTTTACAGATTTACAAACTTTTGTGATTACATTCCAGTCATACAGTGATTCAAGTACCCATCCCTCCACCATTGCCCACTCCCCACCACTAATGTTCCTCGTATCCCTTCCAACACCTCTCTCACCCCCCACTCCTACCCCCCTCCCCCCCCCCCCCCCCGTGGCAGGCACATTCGCTTTTACTCTCCCTCCATTTGGGTGTTGTGGTTTGCAATACAGGTACTAAGTGGTAATCATGTTCGGTCCACAGTCTACTTTCAGCAGCATTTCCCATCCTGAACGAGCCCTCCAAGCCTCGGTTTACTTTGTGGTCCCTTCTCTATAAGAGTTGCCTTTTCCCCCAGCATGTGAGGCTGGCTTCCAAACCATGGACCGATCCTCGTGGCCCTTATCTCTACTATCCTTGGGTGTTAGTCTTCCATTATCCACAAATGAGTGCAGTCATTCTATGTCTTTCCCTCTCTCTCTGACTCATTTCATTTAGCATGATACTCTCCATATCAATCCACTTATATGCAAATCTCATAACTTCATCTTTTCTAATAGCTGCATAGTTTTCCATTGTGTAAATGTAAAGTTTCTTTAACTAGTTGTCTGTTCTCAGGCACTCAGGTTTTTTCCAGATTCTGGCTATTGTGAATAGTGCTGCAATAAACATGCAGTACAGATATCATTTCTACTGTACTTTTTTGCATCTCTGGGATATATTCCCAGAAGTGGTATTACTGGGTCAAATGGGAGCTCAATTTCTTATTTTTTTTTTTGAGAAACGTTTCCATATTGTTTTCCAAAAGGGCTGAACCAGTCGGCATTCCCACCAGCAGTAAAGGAGAGTCCCCTTCTCCCCACATCTGTGCAAACACCTGTTGCTTTTGTTCTTTTGGATGTGAGCCAGTCTCTGTAGTGTGAGATGATACCTCATTGTTGTTTTGACCTGCATCTCCCTGATGATTAGTGATGAAGAGCATTTTTCATGTGCCTTTTGGCCATTCGTGTTTCTTCTTTGAGAAAGTTTCTGTTCATTTGAGACAGCAGTGTTTATTAGTTTTCCACACTACCCCGTGCCCTTCTACAGCCATGCTCTTTTTCTGAACAATTTTAGTATGAAAACATTGAGTCACTCTGTAAACCCCTATAGTGGATCTAATGAAAGAATTTACTAATACTGGCTGTTAATATATTCAGAACTTTCTCAGAAAAATTTACAATCATATGATTTCATACAAAACAAACCTGAGAAGCAGCCCTTTGATACAGAAACAATAAAATATTCCTTTGTAATATTTCTAAGGAAAGTTACAAAAATGAAAATACTTGAAGCGTCCTTTGCCTTTAATAGACAGTGGCTAGCAGTAGAGAGTTCATTGACCTTCCCTCAGCTGTACTGATGCTTTTCAGTCCTTTCAGCCCCAACTTTCTTGATATGGACAGTCCAATGTCATCAGAAACCTTTTCTCTTCACAATGATCATTTCAAAGTAAGGCACATTTCTTCCAATTTCAGGAAACAAAGCAATATGTACTAGGATTTTCTGCTATCTTTCTCCATCACTAAGAAACCAGCTCAGCTCTTAGTATAAAGAAATTGGTTCCCCCCCCCCCGCCTGGACAAGACCCTTAGTTGCTGCCCACAAACAGTTCCTCTGCTCCTGATCGACCATGATCCCAGAGGCACACAAACCAGTCTCGGAGCCCAGCGGCTTCTGGCAGAAATCCCTCTGGACTTAATTACTAAAATACCAGAAATCCAAAATTGCATGGCTGCGACATCATATGCTCTTTATTGTCAGCAATAGAAAACAAATTATCTAATGATGCCTTTTCAGCAGGTCTGATAATTGGGAGAAAATTCCAAATAATAATTGTGGGTCTTCTGTTGAAAATTTGAATGTAATCAAAGTAAAGAGGGAGTTTAGTGAAAATCATCTGCCACACAGGCAGGGAGAGGGATGGGGTTGGGGGTATACTAGGGTTCTTGGTGGTGGAACATGTGCACTGGTGAAGGGATGGGTGTTTGATCATTGTATGACCGAGACTTAAACCTGAGAGCCTTGTAACTGTTCTCACGGTGATTCAGTAATAAAAAAAAAAAAAGGTTGTTGCATGGCTAAATTGCGATGGCAAATTTTAACACTGCTCTGCAGAAGTCCAGTCTCACATCACTAATGCTGTCAGGCAAAAGACACTTTCACCTGAGTGACTAACTTAAACCAGACCTTGATACACAGATTTCAGCATTAAGATTCAGTCTTTCAGGTTTAATACATATTAAATGCTGTGCTGTAGACTTGTGTGTGTGTGTGTGTGTGTGTGTGTGTGTGTGTGTGTGTGTGTGTGTGTTGGGGGTGTCCCAAGTTGTGTTCTTGGGCATGAAACCCCTTCCCAGTGTTTCTTTTCCCAACAAGTCCATGTGGTTGAATGCTCAGGCCCCAGGAGGTAGTACTTCTTGGACCACGTGATACAAGCTGCCCCCAGAATCATACCAAGTAGTGCTCGGGAGCCTCAAAGGGCCGTCTCTGTGATGCTCGGCTCTGTACCCTAAAATCTGTGTTCATTGGCCCCCTAGCTTTAAGTTCTTCAAAGGTCTAATATATTACCATTATACAGAAATCTTTGGAAAACAGTATTATAAATTTAGTTTAAATTTTTTAAAAAAGAAACACCTAACATAAACTGCCATATTTTGTTTGTTCAGGTTTTTTTTTTTTTGGCTTTTTGGGTCACACCTGGTAATGCTCAGGGGTTACTCCTGGCTGTAC